AGCCTAGGTCACTTCATGTCTGAACTAGCTTTGGCCAGTTGGCTCCCGAAGAATTTTACTAGCACGGTCCACTGTATTTTGCTCGGTTAAGCATCATTTACTCATTGTTCGGACGAACTCTGCACAGTCCTTTTCCTTGACTAAGATTCTTAGCTAGGTCAAGGGTTGCCTTTGTCATCTTAGCCTAGCCATTTTCCACTGCGCATACTTAGCTCGGTCAAGATCCTTTGCCCCGGTCTATGTCTGACGTATGGGCTTATCTCGGGGCACAGTCCAAGCTTATTCTGCTTGGCCCAACGCCTATTTCATGTTAACTTTGTTGCACGGTCAAAGGTCCACATGGAATTTAGGTCAACCCATTTGTTCGGCACAAATTCTCTTCTCAACTACTATTACCAAAATATTAAATTTTAAAATAATATAATTTTTAATTTAGATATCGTTTTTTTAATAAAATTAGTATTTTTAAAATTCTCTTATCAAGATCTATTAAATAAGATCCATGTTGACTATGAAATTCTTAAAAAACAAATAATATTACTATCGAAATTGATGCAAATAGTAACATGTTACTTTGTTTGGCAGTAGCATATTACTCTAGCAATATTATCCAATAAAAAAAAGATATTTTACTTTGTCCTTAATCAATTATGTACCTCCTCCTTAGGAGATGAAACAAAATAATTTGGGTTAATTCTTTTCACTAAATAAGGGTCCAATAGAGGGGTTTTTGCTAAATTTCTCTAGCTTTTTTAAGAGACATTGGGGTTTAGCTCAATGGTCTAATAGTTACACTTTCAGTGTGTGGTGAGAGAGAGATCACGAGTTTGAACGGGTGGACCAGTGATGAACCCTTTTAATTGTAATCTAATTTTATTAACCTACTAATGCTATTTTTGTAAAAAAAAAACTTTTTTTTTTATTTTTTTTTTGTTAAAAAGAAAAACCAGTAATAAATAAACTTTTTCAGCATAGTTTATATAAACAAAACAAGTTTTGGATAAACAGAAAAACTGTTATACAGATTGATCTTATTTAACCAAAAAACCAACTTTCTAATAAATAAACTAAATAAAAATAAATAAAAACTTCTATATATAAAAGGTTTTCTACATAGATCATTATTGCCATACCCACTTGGCTCAATTCCTTGACTGCACATTCGGGAAAACAAACTAACTGCATCTGGTATAAACCCACTAGAACATACCCAGACACATGGTGTTTCAAAAAACTCCATTCCTTTCAGGCATTCGATCAAACAAGTACTGGGCAGGTTTGTTTTCCAAACTTGCAATACATGTTGATCAAAGTATTATAAAAAGTGCATAAATGGTCAAACCCTTTAACCAATCGGCCTCTCTCTCTCTCCCTGACAGCGATACCGCTCCCCCAACGGTGCTCGGCCACACCGCTCTAGAAGAGATTAGATGTTTAAAAATGGAAGAGGACAAAAAAGAAGTCAAGTCATTCAAAGATTTGGGTAAAGAAACAAAAGAAATTTGAAACAAAAAACTCCAAATCCTCTTCCAAAAAGACCTTCGAAGCCTTAAAAAACAAACACCCAACTGACCCTGGAACTTCCAATACTGCAATAAAGATATCTACATACAAGCAATAGACACAAAAAAAAAACCCAGTTCGTGGCATTAATCTTGAAAGCTCTGCTTGGCTACTGAGAACCAATTGATATTATATCAGAACAAAAAACAATTCTTCAAGATTTCCAACGTTGTGATTCAATCACACACTCAGTCCCTCATTTTCTTCGGAACTCGAGTTTTTCCAGTTTTTCCCTCTCTGAATACCATGCTCGAGGCGGTAAAGTTCCCAAAAGGCATTGCCGACCTGAATACCGACCTGACCGATGTGGATCGAAACGCACTCTCTCATTTTTTTTTATTTGAGTTTTAAGAGAAACCCAAAATATAAGAATTGATTGAGAGAGACGAAGAAGAAAGAGATAGAAATATGAAAGCGTTTATGAAGACGCCCCAAATTCAAAACCTGAGCAAATCTAAATTCAAATTTTCAGAGATGAAATTACTGTGTATATAACCAAAAATTGAAATTTGCAAACCCATATTTTGATATACATAGATTCAAATCAATTCTTAAGATTCACCCCCAAATATATCAAAGATGATTCTCCAATTACAACTATGGGATAAATACATACAAAACCGTATATATAGATGTGACTTTCATACATTTGCGATTGTACAAAATACATGCATAAGAACTAAAACCAGAACTGTTCGAGTTTCGATACAAAATCAAAATAGTTCGAAAATCGACGTAGCAAACAAATAACATGAAATAAAGTGAATTATTTATTCAGATAGAAATTGAGCAAATAAGATTTGTCAAGGAACATAAACAATTTCTATCTTTAACAGGTTCTCATAACAAAGTACTATAAGAGTTTTATCAAAAACAGAAACTACAACCAGAACAATGTTCTGTTGTTCATAAACACCGTTTCAAAAAATTCCAAATCTGTATGAAAGTAGTTACTAAAGTAACCAACCAAAAATAAATTGATTTCTAGTAGATTCAAACTACTTATAAGTTATAACCGGAACAGTTTTAACAATGATAAATCTGTTTAACAACAGTTTTTCTCGATCAGGTTTTATCTGTTTACGCACTGTAAGTTTTATCACGTTATTATGTTGATATATTTGAGTTTTTGGTTTTTCCCAAAAAGCATTTATATAATTTTACATTATATTTTCCTTATAGTTTGATACTATTTTATCCAACAATCTTAAGACAGATTCGTCCTCCCACCGGTGCTTAGGATTCAATGGACGTCTATCTCCCAGGATACAACGATCAATGTCTTGCACTAGCAGCACTACTATTGCAAGCCTAGCGAACTTTGCTATGCATGAACTCTCTTTATAGGAAAATTAGACTCAGGCAATATGAAGAATAAATGCAAAGTGAAGAAGAATGGCAATTCCCCATACTAAATGAAGTGGGGGAGATGGAATATAAAGACATCTATGTGACTCTTTAGAAAGGTTGTGATCCTTTAAAAGGACACACCCTTTCATCTCAAGAGACACAACCATTGGAGTAAATTTAAATTCAAATTTTCCAACAACTGTGTCAAAATTGTTGGTTACACTATATTTCTTTTTTTAAATTTCAAAAAAGTATGATTTATCCATAAATTTTTTTAATCACAGAAAGTAGTTTTTGGGGGGATTTGGTTAAAACCCTCTTATAATAAAATTTTAATGCATTAGAGACAAGCACAAAAAGTTGTTCTTGAAAAATCCAACATATACCACTGTATGGGAAGTAAATATTCTCTACTTCTGTACTCCTTGCGACCAAGCTCTGTGTTACTCCGAACAACGTTATACAGCTTGGAAACACAGCAACAGTGAGCTATCCGGCGGGTATATTGTTGGAAAACTCCTTCGACGGTCAAGCTAGCACTCCTTAGAGAGAAGAAATGAGATAAAGATAGCTCAATGTAAGAGATTGCAGACCTTTTGCTTGGTGAAGTAGTGCGTTTGTTATAGACTGCTCCCTTGCCTTCTAAGATTTTGCGCGCATTACCTCGCTCGTCTTCTACTGGACGTGTGGGTGTACTGCCCTCTCATTTCCTTACACGTGTACGCGTCAATACTGTCAAACAGTATCAGCAAAATAATCAAACGGTATTATTGGCAGATTTTCTTCATCGCATTCTAATTGGGTCATGTAGTATACGATTGCCGAGCTATCTTCAACCGGGCTAATTTCAACCAATTAAGCCTAGGTCACTTCATGTCTGAACTAGCTTTGGCCAGTTGGCTCCCGAAGAATTTTACTAGCACGGTCCACTGTATTTTGCTCGGTTAAGCATCATTTACTCATTGTTCGGACGAACTCTGCACAGTCCTTTTCCTTGACTAAGATTCTTAGCTAGGTCAAGGGTTGCCTTTGTCATCTTAGCCTAGCCATTTTCCACTGCGCATACTTAGCTCGGTCAAGATCCTTTGCCCCGGTCTATGTCTGACGTATGGGCTTATCTCGGGGCACAGTCCAAGCTTATTCTGCTTGGCCCAACGCCTATTTCATGTTAACTTTGTTGCACGGTCAAAGGTCCACATGGAATTTAGGTCAACCCATTTGTTCGGCACAAATTCTCTTCTCAACTACTATTACCAAAATATTAAATTTTAAAATAATATAATTTTTAATTTAGATATCGTTTTTTTAATAAAATTAGTATTTTTAAAATTCTCTTATCAAGATCTATTAAATAAGATCCATGTTGACTATGAAATTCTTAAAAAACAAATAATATTACTATCGAAATTGATGCAAATAGTAACATGTTACTTTGTTTGGCAGTAGCATATTACTCTAGCAAAATTATCCAATAAAAAAAAGATATTTTACTTTGTCCTTAATCAATTATGTACCTCCTCCTTAGGAGATGAAACAAAATAATTTGGGTTAATTCTTTTCACTAAATAAGGGTCCAATAGAGGGGTTTTTGCTAAATTTCTCTAGCTTTTTTAAGAGACATTGGGGTTTAGCTCAATGGTCTAATAGTTACACTTTCAGTGTGTGGTGAGAGAGAGATCACGAGTTTGAACGGGTGGACCAGTGATGAACCCTTTTAATTGTAATCTAATTTTATTAACCTACTAATGCTATTTTTGTAAAAAAAAAACAAATTTTTTTTTTTTGGGTTAGTAAAAAAAAACAATTTTTTAATAACTTTACAAACACATTTAATTTTTTATTTTATTTTAAAATAATCAAAAACTGAAAACCTACCCAAAATTAATCCCAAACAGTAAGTACAACGCAGATCAAATGTGTCTTAAAAATTTCCAACAAAAAACTAACGTACGTTGGAGCTAGCTAAGCTACCAGTAATTTTGCGACACATAATCGCTTGTAAATTCCTCCTCCACCGAAGGGTACACAGCAAATCTTCTTGGGCATGAAAATGACAAAACTACCAATTAAAAGAGACTGAACTGCCTCGCCATTTTTCTCAAGGCTTCATTGATTACAGAGCTAAGCTTAACTCTTTTGATAGAAACAAATATCTACAAAAATAAATATAGCAAGTGGGTATATGCCCATGCTTCCACTGATGATTCCTTTATTGATTTACCAAATCTATCTCTAAAAATCAAGTCTTGTAAATCCATGTAAGTCTCTAAACCTCTTTTCTCCTCTGTTTGTTTTGGAAATTTCTATCTTTTCATTAATTACTTGCTTGTTTCTTCAATCTAGTCTGAATTTTTGTAGATCTAAACCCAAATACGTCACCAGATTTTCTCAGCTTACCTTTCTTCATCTAGTTGTAGTATTTCGCACTCTGTTTTTCTTCTTCTTGCTCTTCTTGTTGTTGCTTGAAAAGATTGATTTTTTTTTTTTTATTCACTGCAGATTTCGAAAGTTGAAGCAGTTTATTGCATAATTGATGATTTAATGGAGTACCCAGTTCGTGATTTGATAGAATTCGACAGTTTTGATCAAAGTCAAGGTGATCTGGGTTTGGGTTTTGTTTGGTATTCTCTTAAATTAAGAATTAGGGTTAGGGTTAGGTTATGAGCTTAACAAGTGATGTGGGTTTTGTGGATTTGACTTGTTTGAGCTACTACTGAATTACGGTTTTGTATCTTTCTACCATTGAAAATATAATATTGGCTTCTGGGTTGTAATTGTACTGGTAATGGATTACCATCGGGACACTGAGTTTTCTGGTGGAAATGTTGTTCCGGTATTTACTGGACCCCAGAGCGACGGTGGTGATGAGAATTGGGATTCGGGGTTGGTTGACCAGGCGGTTTGGGCAACTGAAGATGATTATGGGGCTTGGAATAGAGAAGCTTCTGTTGACACTAATTCTAATTCAAATTACGAAACTCGGTCTGGAAGTGAACCGCCAAATAAGAAATCAAGAAACTCCCAATCGGGTGATAGTCGGTCAAAGGCAATTGGAAAGATGTTTTTCAAAACCAAACTATGCTGCAAATTCCGAGCAGGGACTTGCCCGTATATCACAAACTGCAATTTTGCACATAGTATTGAAGAGCTTCGAAGACCACCTCCCAATTGGCAAGAGATCGTGGCGGCCCATGAGGAGGAACGAGGTGTATCACCGGAGCCAAGGGAGGAATTCCAAATTCCCTCACTTGGGTCCACTGGTTTTACTGGGGATAGTCAGAGGTCCTATAAAGGGCGACATTGCAAGAAGTTCTATACCGAGGAGGGCTGTCCATATGGTGATAATTGTACTTTTCTTCATGATGAGCAGTCAAAAGCAAGAGAGAGTGTGGCCATAAGTTTGGGTCCTGGGAGTGGTGGGGGATATGGTGGCAATGGGGGCAATTCAGGCAATTCGAGTGGATCAAACGTGAAGCCATCCAATTGGAAAACTAGGATTTGTAACAAGTGGGAGATGACAGGGTATTGCCCATTTGGAAACAAGTGCCATTTTGCTCATGGGGCTCAAGGTATGATTTCATACACTAACTTTTCAATCTCTATTCCAAGTAAATATTATCGAAATTCAAGAAAGAAGAGACTTTGCGTTGCATCGCATGGTGAATATATATTGGAAATAATTATTTTAATGTCTATCATGCTATTGTTTCATTTCAATCACTTAGTGCTATGTTAATCATGTTGAATGCCAAATATTTGAAGACACAAGTGGCATTGGATGATCTGATTCTTTTATTGGAAATAATGCTTTTCATGCTTCTTTTATACGTAGCTGATAGCATGCACAATTCCGCACACGTGAAAAGCATTCATTTTATGAAGCAGAAGCATATACCCTACTGATATAACTGCATCCTGTATTTAGGATTTGAAGAATTTGTCTCATCAGTAGACCAGCTGAGGTAATATCATTGTAGTGATACTAAAGACCTAGGTCAAATCTTGCTTTCATGTTGTGTAGAGAATTTTGTGGACATGAAAGGCTGTCCCCCAGTATGTGGCCTGGTGACATCACGCCCCTGCTCTCCCGAAAGGAAAAAAAGAATCCAACGTCACATATCACCTCAAAAAAAGGAGAATATAACTATTTAACTTTTTTTTTTTGGATTTACAAGAAGCACATTGCTTCCAAAACTACCAATTTCCTTTTTTACAACCTATAAATGATACTTTCTGTTTTAAAAATAATAAAAAAAAACCTTTAAGTGATACTAAATTTGTAGTAAGTGAATCTTATGCGTATTTATATAATAAACTTGACTATATAGGCATACTTAATGAGTGCATGTCCAGCTAGACATGCTGGACACATATCCCACCGACGTGGGTACTTTACAAATAAAGAAGAGTCTATGTAACAAACTTTATCGTTCAGTTGCTTATTGCTGTTTAAAAACCAGAATGAAGTTAATGCCATTTCCTTAGTACTTGTCAGGGGGTGGGCCTTGGTGCAACGGTAAAATTGATCTACTGCAAACTAAGCATCACGGGTCAAAACACGGCAACAGCCTCTTCGCACCCGAGGGTAAGGCTGCATACATTGGAACCCCTCTCCCCCCCCCCACTCCAATAGCTGGAGCTTCTTGAACTAGCTCCCCTTTTTATTTCCTTATACTTGCAATTAAAAAGGAACAATAAAAAACCTCCTCTTGTTAATGTGTAAGGGTCATAAATTTTATAGGTTTATAGCTTGCCTAATTAACTGTCTCGGTTTTCCCCCCCTTAAACTATGAATCGGCTGTTCCTTTCCAAACTTGATTGCACATGCAATGAAAATCAAGATATGGCATACGAATTTTGTTATTAATTTTAGTGATGAAAACTGAAATTAGTATTTCTGTTTCAGAATTGCATCGTTATGGTGGGGGGCTTATGGAGGGAGATGCTAGGGATTCTTCCTCTGCTCCTCCGGACATAAAGCAGGGTTCAGTGCCTTCAAAAACTCCAGCCGATACTGTGGTTGTGTCTGTCACTTCAGTTCCTCATTCAGATGGTTACCATGTTGGAGTCCCATCACAGCGGTTGTCCAATGTAATCCAGAGGACGGGGCAGAGAGCTCACCAGAAATGGAAAGGTCCGGACAAAATTAGTAGAATATATGGTGACTGGATCGATGACGTCGAATAGAATTTGAAATTCCTCATCGGCATATATTGAAGACCATCAGAGAGAACTTGTTATACATTTGCATGAAAGAAGTTTTCCACAAAAGAAAAAACGAATCAGCTCTTTCATAGATAGGTGCTTCTCTTGCTCTCTAGCTTTCAGATTTAAGGGGAGATTAATTTTTTCTGTTCTTTTGAAGTTTTTTCGGCAACATGTTGGCTTGTAGAGTTTTAAGCACATGCATAAATTGTCAAGCTATCTATTTTCATGTTTTGAAAAGTTTGTAGAACTTTTGTAGTCTTTTTGTCATCACATGTATGAGTCAGATGTTGTTTCTTATCTATAAAATGTTGTATCAATTGACAACATGTACCTCTTGAATCATTGTTTGTATTCTTATTTTTATTGGGAAGCATTTGGTTTGGAATTAAGAGATATGCCATTTACCCTCCAAAAGGAATTTTGTATATTGCAGAGTTATTTACCCATCGATCCTCTTTTTGTTGGGAAGGCTCGTCTTGTTTATTATTTTGTATGATTTTTTTTTTTGTATATAAATTCCATAGGTTAACGTTATCCACTATTCTGTATATAATATTGCCACACAGAGTGGTCGTTTTTGTTAATAAAAAATTATCAAATTAGGGTTACTAACATGATGGAGGATGATTCTCATGAATAATTTGCTTGTGTAAATTAAATAGGATGTTATTCAAAAAATTACTACAGAATCAATCATTAAAGACTTTCAGAATGTGAAGCAATGTCGAGTTTTACTTTGATAAATATTTAAGTATGACTTGTACAAAGAACAAAGAAATACATAACTTTGATAAATGATCGGGTTTCATTTTTGAATTGAAATATGATAATTTATATCAATTGATAAAATAATAATAATAATGTCTTCACCCTAGAAAAATGAAATTCTTCCTCCGTCGCTGCTGTTAGTCCTCAGAGAAGCCTAATGCTATAAATGTATTCATAGCTTATGCAAGGATGAATATTCTGCTGCTTCTTCAAAATTTTGAAATTCCTCTCTTCATCAGCTTATTAATGCTGATCACGAAGGCTCGGGATATCTTCATTTTCTTTTCTTCAATTTTTAGGACCACAGGCCTCACTTTTCCAGTTGGTGCTTCTATCCTGGGCCAAAACTTGAAGATCTGCTCTCTCCCTCTAAAGATTTTCGCTGCGGAGGGGGATGAGATTATTATTCTTTTTTCTTTTTTTTTTTCTGCTTGTTCTTTTTCTCATTTGGTTTCTGCTCCAATTTAAATAAAAAATACAAAGATTGTTTGTGGTTGCAAAACAATAGAGAAGAGTGTGAAATTATTTGTCAGTTATTTTCAATTTGGTCTTTCTCCAGACAAAACCCCTAGTCCTTCTCATAAGGACTCGTTCAATGCCTATGGTTCTAGCCACTGATACAAAACCAACATGTCCACCTAACTCTCCCAAATTAGGACGCCATTTACATTTATGCCCTTTGACTTGTAAACCCTCCTTTATTGTCTCACCCCAAACACCCAGATAAATCTAATCACCCAAAACCATACATTCTTTTCCCCCTCAAGTTGTTCAGGTTCATTTTGGTCACATCTCTAAGCAAAAAAATCCCAGGCCGGATTATTAGATTTCCGGCCAACCAATCAACTTTCTTCATTCTTATTCCAGCGATGACGACAAGCACAGTCGAAAGCACGCCGCAATCATACACCTCCCCGCCGGTGACCATTATCCTCACCATCATCCTACTCGTGTTCTTCTTCGTGGGCTTTTTCTCCGTGTATTTTTGCAGGTGTTTCATGGAAAACTTGCTTTACTCGTGGTATATCAATCATAGCCCCACGGGGACACCGGTGGGCCCGGCGTGCCCTAATGAAGGCCAAGGCTTGGATAGCTCGATAATACAGACTTTTCCAACGTTCACTTATGCAAGCGTCAAAGATCTTAGAAAAGAAAAATACGGGCTAGAATGTGCCATTTGCTTGTCAGAGTTTGCAGACGATGACATACTTCGGCTTTTGACAGCATGTTGCCACGTGTTCCACCAAGAGTGCATCGATCTATGGCTCGCATCTCACAACACATGCCCGGTGTGCCGGCGGAACCTCGACGGAACTGAGAAATCGCCTGAAAAGTCACCGGTGCATACCGCCATGCATGAAATCAATGAAAACGAGGCATTGGAAGTGGAAGACGGTTTTGGCATTACAGTCAAAGATGAGGATGACAATGACAGACATGGCATGGGAGAGGAGGGGGTAGTTGCGCCTAGCACGGTGGAATTCGAAAAAAGCGACGGACAAAATGAGGTGGAGAAATTTCCAAGGTCACATTCAACCGGGCATTCGATAGTTAGGGCTAGAACTTGGGAAGATAGGTTTACATTGAGATTGCCGGAACATTTGCATGTGAAACTTGTAAGGGGACATAATTGGACCGGAAGTTGCACCACATTTGGAGAATTCAAGAGCAAAACATCCACCGGTTATGGCGGTTTTGGCGAGGTTTCGGATTTTTCAGGCGGAGATGTCAACCGAGTATGAGTCCATTTTTTTTTTCCGCCTATTATTTGATGATAATGGGTAGCCATAAAAAGACTGTCATTGTTTCATATTCATATGAACACAACATAATGTTAGGATAGGAAGATAGAATAGGTGATTTTGCAGAGCACTGGACATTTTCAAATCTGTATATTAATGTGCTATTTTTAATTAGTTTCTTGTATGTAGCTTTAATGAACTTTATCTTGCTCAAATGAGCATGAGGAAATATTTTTTGGCCTTTGGTTTGTTGATGATTGATAATGAATGAACTTTGACATAACCAAAAATTACTTTGTTTATAATCAAAATAAAAATCATAATAGATCATACTAATTACCATCATAATTAATACTATAATTTGTTATAATTATTACCACAAAAAAAGAAAAAGAAAAAAGAAAAAGATCTTACAATCACAATGAATCATAATTACACAACATTTGAGTCAATTAAAAATCATAAAAAATTGTAATCAAGTATAAAATATACCTAAAAAACAGTGTATTATAAAATTCCATACCAAATTTACGAAAAGATGTATAGAAAAGTAGAGAGGTTATGTGATGGAAAAAAGATAAAAAGATAGATTATTTTGTGTATGCCAAAGGCCAAGTTTGGGAAGTCTCAAAAAAGTCAAAAAGTCAAAAAGTTACTGAAAAAGTTAAAAAGTTATTATTATTCACCAAAAGTCAACAATTACGGCTGCACAACTCCCAATTCTAATTTTCTCCTGCAAATCAATTTTTATAATTTTTTTATTACACATTTTTCCATAAAAAGTCAAAAAATTAACCTAAACATTCATATTTTTAACTTCAACTTTTTAATCTAAAAAGACAAAAAGTGCACTTATTTAAGACACCCCAAACAACCCCTTAAATATTTTTATTAAATAATATAATAAAGAATTTAGAAAATATAATAAAGAGATAAAATACAATAAAATAATACAAAAGTAGAATAAATAGTATTTTTACTTTAATACATGACTAATAACTTTGCGTAACTGGTAAGTGAAATTTGATGTGAAATGTACAGGTATAAAGTTCAATTTACCCATGACAATATGATTATATTAATGTCATGTATGAATGACCTTCCGGCACACTACAGGAACAGAAGATAGAATAAAAATTAAGGGAAAGATTATGGTTGCGTTTGGTTGTGTTTTGTAAATGTAATTTGAGAGTATGAATTATATTTTGAATTTGTGTGTTGTAAAATTATGATTTGAGTGTAGAAAATTTGTTTGGTAAAGAGTTTTGAAAATAGTTTTGGAAAAGATATTTGATTTGAGTGGGGAATTGTTGATGTGATATTTGATATGTGATACAAAAATTTACAACTCATAACTAAATATACAACTCAAAATTATTTTAAAGCACATTAAAAATTAAAAAAATTTCAGAAAATATTTTTCCCAATTATATAAATCAATTGAAAAAAAAAAAATTCTGTACAACAGAGGACATCCGGGTGGTAGTCCCTAGGGACGACTAGGCGGTCTTCCCCTGGCAAAAAAAAAATACAAGAAACGCGCAGAATGGACAGAGCTTTCGGTAGAGTTTTGGAAAATTAATTCCAAAACTCTTACCAAACATGGAGCTGAAACTAGCATGTAGAATCACATTTCAAAAGCACAACCAAACATAGCCTAAGTTTTCTCATTTAAAAATATCATGCATGATGCTCGTTCAAAAACATAATCAATCAAATGATTTCAATATACAAATATATCTCATCAAAGGGTGATAAATACGACTCAGGTAACCCCTATACTAGTGTCTGCATGTAGGCTCTAAAGCACTACCAAAACTACTTTTTTAGTTATTAACCGGAAGGCATAGGCCCCTACACCACGCGTGTTTTTGGCCTTTCACCATGACCTCAAAACAACTTAATTCAACACTGCACCTCTTATCCGAACTTACCGATGTATTTATCCCAAAACAATTCACGGCTGTTTTCTTCCCGGCCAATCCGTTGGACTCTGATTGCCTCAAACTGCTTGATATGGTCCCTGACCAGAGCTTGGTACTTCGCCATCCTGTCGTCCTTCGCTTCATAAATCCCTGAAACTTGGTTAACCACAAGCTGGGAATCACTATATACTAGAAGCTCGGCAGCCTTCATTTGGATTGCGCTCTTGAGCCCAGCAAGAAGCGCCTCGTACTCAGCCTCGTTGTTAGACGCCGGGAAGCCGAGTGTGATAGAATGCTCTATGGTTAGGCCGTCCGGGGATATAAGAACGATACCAAGGCCGGCACCATGATGGTTGGACGCTCCATCAACAAAAAGCTTCCACATGTCCCCCACGAAAAGCTTCCAGCAGTCAGATGGGTCCTGAGAGTTGCGAAGGGCAATGGGATCACAACTGCTCGGCTGTGCGGTGTCAAGTTTGGTGTTGACCGGTTCAAATTCAGTGCCCCTTGGTGATTCGACACCGGACTCAGCAAGTTGGTCCGTAATGCTCAAGTCCGTAGGCGAATCACCAGGTTGCGGTGTGAAGCCGGCTGCAGGTTCTGAGCTGTCTGGAGCCATTCCTCCCCCCCTTGATGATTCGACACCGGACTCAGCAAGTTGGTTCAGAATGCCCAAGTCCATAGGCGAATCATCAAGTTCTGAGCTGTGTGGAACCATTCCTTCCCCCCTTGGTGATGCGGTACCGGACAGAGTGGATGGGTTGGTGATACACAACTCCGTCATCGCAAAGTTATTAGTCATGTATTAAAGTAAAAATACTATTTATTCTATTTTTGTATTATTTTATTGTATTTTATCTCTTTATTATATTTTCTAAATTCTTTATTATATTATTTAATAAAAATATTTAAGACTCACAAAAAATATTCTATAATTATCTATAATAATGTGGTATAACATATGTCAACTAATTTGTTATACATCTAATAATATAGGATTTCAATCCCTTACCATATCATTATAGGTAAATTTGTGAATTAAAAATATGAATATATAGCATTACTCATTATTTAAACTCATTTTTTAAGTACAAAAATTAAAAAAAAAAAAAATACATTGGCTAAAAAAAAGGTCTCATCTATTTGGGCTGGCCCCCATTAAACGGGTTGGTCACAAAAACGAACTAAACGAATCGGGTACGCCGCCGATTATAAATACAGATCTCTGCGATTAATCGTCAGCTTTTGCTTCCTCACTCTTCTGCATTACAAGAGATTAGCCTTTTAGATACTCAGGTTCCGTTTGGGAAGAAGGTTTTCAGGTTTTTTTGATTATTTTAGTCATAAAAAATAAAATAGATTATTTCAATCACAACAAATAAAATATCACATCTAACCCATAATTATTACACTCTTCTCTCACAAAAAAAATTAAAAAAATCAAAAAGTCTTTCCCAAACCAAACTTTTTAGCCCAGGCTAAAATAGTTAAAAAAGTCAAAAAGTTAAAAAGCCAACCGATTCCCAAACGGAGGCCAAATTTGGTCGCTAAAAATAATTTTAGGGACAAACTTAAATCTATGATAATTTACTTATAAGATTGTAAAATTAACTATTAATAATCTTATTTAATATTTACATAAGTTTTTTTGACCAATAAATTTAGCTGCTAATATATTATTAACATCTTTAGGGACCATTTATCATCATTATCAATTCAAAACATTTTGAGTATCATTTTAACAATGGAAAAAGATTGGTAGCTTGAGAATTTTTAGCTCGAGTGGCCCGAACATTTTCTCTCTCCTCTCCTCCTTTCCTTTCCTTTCCTCTCCTCTCTATCTCATCTTCTCTCTGTCTCTATTCAAACACTCTCTGCACTCTCACCTCTCATTCTTCTCTCTGATTTGGGTTTGATGTTTTAATTTTGATTTTTTTTTCCTTCTCTGAAACTAGTTTTTTTTTTTTTTTTTTAACTTTTTTTTAAGTTTGAGATTAAAAAGTTTTTTTTTTTGATTTTTTGTGAGAGAAAAAATATAATGATTATGAAAAAAAAAAAAAACCCATTTGCAGAACTCTATGAACCAAAAAAAAAACCAAGCTGTGAACTCGAGTCAGAACATGAGATGCCATGTCTTCTTCACTACAAAAATCAAGGGATTCTCAGACAAAACTAAACTTGCAATGCATACATATACATATACATATACATACAATTAATGGATATATATATGTGGATTATCCAAAGTCTAGTGTGAAGATTAATAAAAAGCAGAGAGGGAGAGAGAAATTGACCATGAAGTCAAACATCCACCTAATTAATAAAGAAGATTAATTTGGAATGTTGAAGTTTACAATTTTCAAAACCCACCAACCCACGCAATATATAAACACACATACATATATACATACATACATATATATAGACTTAAATAAAATCAAATATATGTAAAATAAGTTGAAAATTCTCCAAAATTAAGCATCAAAAATCCCAAACCAAACCCTACCCACAAATCCCATTTCCCATTTCATTCCAAAAATCTTATTATTACACAAAATCAACAAACACAGAGAGAGAAAGAGTAACTATCCACGAAGAGAGCGAGAGAATAACAAGCCAGATGGTGATGGTGATCTTGAGGAAGATGTACCTGTGTGTTGATTTTGGTCGTAAAGATTTCAAACGAAGAATTCTTTCTAAAGACAGAACACCAAACAAGACAGAGAAAGAGAGTAAAAGAAAAAAAAACAAAACAAAAAAGAGGTACCAAAACGACGCCGTTTTGGTACCTCGAGCCATGTCACTTTCGAGCTACCTAGCGGGGTCGTTTTAACAATTAAAAAGTCGGGACTTACTTCAGCCCTAGCTTGCTCATTCTCTTTACAACGGGTTTGCTCAATCTTCAGTGCTAACACTATGTTTGGGAACCCAAGAGAGAAAATAAAAGAAACGATTACTTAAGTAATAAGAGAAAAGAAAAGAAAATAAATGATTGTGATTTCTCTCCTTTTTGTTTGGATAAGTAAGAAATAAAAGAAAAGAAATGATTGTGATTTCTCTTATTCTTATTTGGTTAGATTTCATTAAGAGAAAAGAAAAAAAATTATTTTATATTATATTACCAAAATAACCTTTCTATATTTTCAATCATTTTATTTCTTTTATTTTTATAGGGACAAAATTGATATTATAAAAATAATAATTTTTTTCTTTCCCAATCTCTCAACTTTGAAAAGATTGAAAATGAAACTTATAAAAAAAAATACGTTTCTCTCCCTTTGTTCCCATTTCTCTCTGTTTATATTATCTAAACAAATAAAAAAACTACATAACAATCCATTTCTTTTCTTTTCTCTCCGAATCACTTAATACAAACATAGTGTAAAGTCGGGAGCTCCAAGGCAGATTGGGTGCTCAATCTTCTTCAAATTTTGGTGCCTCTCTCTCTCTCTCTGTAATCGATCTTCGTAATCGACCTGTAAGTGTTCCAATTGGAACTTTAAATTTCTTATCGTAATCGAACTCCGTAATCGACTTGTAAGAGGTCCAATTCGAACTTTCAATTTCTCATTATTTCATAGATTGAACTTTTTTTGTGTGTATATATATGTATATCTTAATACGTGTTGGAATTGAAGAATTCTTTACATAGATTGAACTTGTGTGTGTGTATATATGTATATCTAATCTAATGCGTGTTGGAGATGAAGAATTGTTTTCTCGCACAGTTCGATCAATACTGTATTTCGTATGCTGTTAATTTGTTGTTTCAGTGAGTTTTCAGGTGTTACACTATCATTTTCTTTTTTTGATTTTCAATTTGTGATTATTACATAATTGATTTTCATTGATTTAGAAGCCAATTATGGAAAAGAAAAAAAGAAAAAGAAAAATCAATTATGGAATTGTGTGAGGGTGACTTTTACAGGTGAGTATGAGATTGCATGTCATATGCCTTTAAAACAGCTACAGAGGATAAGTAGATGAGAACACAAAAAAATAAAAAATAAAAAATTGAAGTAGCAGAGTTCTTTGAATTACATTGAATTACGAGATTGCATCTATTCAGTAGCTTATGTACATTGCATTGCATTGCATTGTTTTTTATTTAATTTTATTTTAAAGTGCTTGGCTTTAAAATTTCCTGTTCAGTGTATTGTAATTTGGAGCCTTGGTAGTTGAATGCAATGCAGTTATAGTGGTATGGTTCTCTTGTTTTGATCTGCCATGAATTTTTACAGCTTAATTTCTTTTTTTTTGCATCTAATTGCATTCCTTCTAAATATTGTTTACTGTGTTCATTCAATGACCCATACTTCATTTAATTACCATGCTTTTCTTCTCTTGTAGTGTTTTAGTTGGGGTTTTAGAATAATTACATTTAATATAAACTTTTTGATGATACATTATGATCTTTTTCTTGGTGTAGTTAATTATAATTCTTCTTCTGTCATACATTTATGTATATGGACTTGTTCTACTTTTGGTATGACAACAGTGATTGGTATATGTTGATTAGTTATGTTATTTCATCAGTAATTTCAATGAGCATTGAAATAGCTCGCTCGCTTGCTCTCTCTCTCTCTCTCAATATGAATGGTTGGAATTGTTGCTAATATATCTTTTGGCACTTGCTTAAAATTCTATAGATGCTGAGAAATTTCAGTGATGTTAGCTATCTCACTGAACTTTCCTGTCATTTTATTTTTGTGTTTCTTCTTTTCAACACTGAAGAAGCTATGGGATTGTTATTCAATGTGTACACAATTCAAGCGTGGTTGAGAGTATCTACTGGCCTACTAGAAATATCGTTGTTTGATTTACCTTGCAGTGTGAGTTTAGATCTGCCAAGTGAATTACTAGTTTAGTATTATGGATGAAAAATCAATTGGATTATTTGGGGCATTTTTTAAACTAGATGTTTTACTTGGTGATTAAAGGTAGCTTCTAACATCCAATTCTCCAAACATTTAACATATATATATACTATATTTAAAATAAAGAAATTGAGACAGCCTTAGGAATCATTGTAACCATAACTAAATATCAAACAACAATCTTGTAATACATCAATCAATAATACATAAATTCTTACAATTTTTGTGTTTCTTCTTTTCAACAATGAAGAAGCTATGGGATTGTTATTCAATGTGTACACAATTCAAGTGTGGTTGAGAGTATCCACTGGCCTACTAGAAATATCGTTGTTTGATTTACCTTGCAGTGTGAGTTTAGATCTGCCAATTGAATTACTATTTTAGTGTTATGGATGAAAAATCAATTGGATTATTTGGGGCATTTTTTAAACTAGATGTTTTACTTGGTGATTAAAGGTAGCTTCTAACATCCAATTCTCCAAACATTTAACATATATATATACTATATTTAAAATAAAGAAATTGAGACAGCCTTAAAAATGCCCCCCCTCAAGTCAGGCACGGTTATTTTTTTGGAAAATTCTATAATAGTGGCCTTTTGAAGTATGTAACCGATTATGATATTTGTGGTATTTGATTATGATTTTTTTATTGTTAGTTATGACTTATTGTGATATTGATTATAATTTATTATATGTTATTAGTTATAATTAAAAATGATTTTGTTATAAGCCTTTAGTTGTGTATAGAATGACCCTATATTTTTAGAAAGAAAACTTTATGAAAGTGCATCTATACACACTTTAAAATGGCATTATCACATAATTAAAATTTGAACCGCAATAACCCATAAGTTTCACCAATTTGGGTCATAACAAAACCAAATTTGAGAGCTACAAAATATGGCCTTGAAAAATTTGAGTCTCCCTTAATTTGGGTAAAAATCTAGTAAATTAGGATAAGTCAGGTTTAATTTTGATGTAGGTTTGTCTAAGGATTGGTAATGGTATGTAGGACTTTGTGATATATATTTGGAGATATATGATATTCATCAGTTTTAGTTTGCCTGGGGTTATTTGATACTGGCAGATTACTTATGGTTCGGTCATCAAGCTAATACACATGTTGCAATTGTAATTGTGCAATTGTGCACATGTGCACCCACACCCGCAAACGAACACACACTCACAGACATTCAAGCTATATTTACTAGTTCAAATGGGCCATTATTTTGGATTTAATGATTTAGAAATTTCTAAATTCTAGCATGTGCTTGTGCTAACAATCATATATGATCTACAACAGAGGATTTATGTTTAAGAGATGGTGGGACTCTTGCGATTTTGGGAAATTTTTAATTCTGAATTTTCTTGTTGCTAGATGGTTTGAAAATTGCTATTGAATTAGCACTTGTTGTTGAAGTATTAGTCTATTTGTTTTGTTGTGGTACTGTTAGGAACTCTTCTCTTTTGCTTTTATAATTCCAGTATGTCACTTAGAGAAGTAATATGTATATGTGCTTATATTGACTTCATTTTCATTTGTTTCTTTTCAGTTGGCCGGTCAAATTACACGCACTACAATCTGAATTGATGAGGTATTTACCCAAGTTTCTTAAAATTTGAGTAATTATAAACTTTAAGTGTATAATCTAAAATAGTTCTATGTATTATTGGTGGGCTGTTTTTTACTGAATTAATGGTATTCTTACTATTAATATGTATAATATAAGTTTTCTCCTTACATTCTCCATTCATGTGTGTTGTAGTAGTCATTGTGCTATTATATGTGGCAATGCCTTTGCTTATTACATAGTACATAGCCATTGAAATTTCAAGGTTAAAATTTTTCTGTCTCTTGAGAGTAACTGTTAACACCCTATTCATTGTTTAAAGAAAATTATACTTGTTTCTTGTTTTGTTGGATGTGAGAGTGCTCCATTTTGTTTCTCTTTGATTATTGATTTTATGGGGGATTTGTATATGCTTGCAGGTATATAGGCTTAGGTGCTTTGGTTGTACAAGTTTTATGCCTCCACCTTTCTTTTATGGAATAAATATGTTTGTTCTATAGTTCATTTTGAAGTATAAGAAGGTTGTAATTTTGTCCAAATATAGTGGATACTGACACCATTATAAAATGTCTCCATTGTCACTTGAAGAAAGCATAATGTGGCAATTCAGATTATAAGCTTAATTTAGGTAATTACTGATTATAAGTTGACTTTTGTGATGATGGTGGGTGATGGAAGAATGAATGTACTTCACCAAGTTCTTATTGTGTAAATTTTTCTATAGAGCAAGTTGAGAGGACATTTAATTGAGATTTCTAGACAAAATGATGGACAAGAAGATAGAGAGAAAAAAATAACTATTGCCAAAAATTATGGTTGGTTTGGGATGTTCTAAAAAAGTGCACTTTTTAACTTATTGGCTTATATGGGTTGGGTTTGGATTGGGTTTGATGTGATTTGCTAGAGAGGTGATGTGATTCAAATAAGATGATGTGACTTAAATAGGATAGTGACTTTTTGACTGTTTGTATTATTTAGTAGATGCCAAACTTGGCCTTAGTTTTAGTGTTAAGTTAATAAAATTGATTTAACTCATTCTATTCAATTTAGTATTTTTTCAAATGTGTGGCTGGTTTGAATTCTCTCTTGTCTTTGAATTTTTGTTATCACATAGGTCGTGATCTTTGTGTTTACTATAACCTCTTAATAGATCAATGTCTTTTGTGTATTTTATAGGTTGAGAGCTCTGTTTCTGCTCCTACGGATGGACAAAACACCTGTGGTCTAACAATGGTCCAAGCACCCTCCGATATGGTCTAGCATCTATCCCTTTTTCACACCAAACTATGAGGTAACTATCGTCTATCATTTTGTCTATCTCACAGATAACTGAGTCACCAATATTTCTACCTTCTAAAACCGTAGAGAAATGCAATCTTTCTAATATAACATCAAAATCTATATGATAAAGCATGGTAAGCAAGCATTCCATAGCAAACGTCAAAGTTCTTGTTTTAACAAAATGATAAATGATAGATGAACAACTCAAATCATATATTAGCCTTCTAAGAAACCTTTTGATTGATTAGAACTTCGGTTCATGCTTTTGTCCCTAGACGTTTTCATTTGAATTTCTAAGAAAATGATGTTGATCATTATCTTTGGTTTGTTAGGAAAGAGCATTGTGGTGTTGAAGTCTGTGGTTGATATCTTCATAGAGTTTTAATTCATATAATGAACTATGTTGAACTATTTTGATCCTATTTTGAGTTTTAACTCATATAATAAACTATGTTGAAGTGAATTTGGATACTTTGTGTTTTAATTTTTGTAAAATTTTATTTTCTATATACTTTTTGTGGTTTGGGAGTAGAGTGCCTTTGGTGTGTGGATTTTAAAATTTTATTTTATTTTATTTGATTGGATGACAAATTTAATTTTTGTGCATTTTAAGCTATGAAATTAAATGGTTACAAAACATTTCTAAATTGACTTTTAGTGGCGAAAATGTATGGTAGAGAAAGTTATTTGTCTTTTAGCGACCAAATATAGTTGTTAAAAATGTCATTATTTTGTTTTTCGCGACCAAATTGGGCTATTTTGTGACGAAGTATTAGCGACCAGATGTTTAGTCTTCTAAAATCAAACATTTTGTGACAATATAAAATTGGTCGCTAATTGTCATTTTCAGTGACATTTTCAAAAATTTGTCACTAAAGACTTTTTTGGACGCACTTTTAGTAACTTTTTTAGTGACGAATTTAATTTTGTTGCAAAAATTATTTAGAGACCAAAATAATGGTTTTAGGGACCAAAATAATTGGTTGCCAAAAGTCTTATATGTTGTAGTGTGCAATCTCTCTCTCTCTAGCGCAGGACAGAGAATCGCGAGCTTTAGGTTTTCTTCACATTCTACAGAGCAATGGAGACACCTGGGAAGTCCTTCAATCCAAACAAGCACTTAAAAGAGCAGTAACAATAACAATTTCTTCAATTCCTCCATTCTTTCTCTATACATATCTCCTTCTTATATATATATATATATATAATATATATATGTATGTAATTGTTTCTTCTCTGTCATTTTACTTGTTTAATGTTTATGTGATCAGATTTGTGAGCAATTTGACTGGATCTTCCATGCTTGAAGTCATCGCTCTTGCGACTGCTGTACCTGTGAGTGTTGTTTATTTATTATTGTTATTATTATTTCCTATTCAGAATTGACTAATTCAAAATATGTGAATTTCGTAAATGAGTAAATTTGGTGTTTCTCAGGCTCTGATTTTTCTGCGACATTGTTTCTGCTCCGCTGACAAACAAGGTAAATCACACTGATGAATTCTTTGAATTTGGTAATTATTTCACATCTTTCTGTATGTTTGGAAAAATATTTTCAGATTAGTGGTAAACTTTACAAACACTTAACAAGTATAATCATAAACTTTTTTTCATGAATTTGTAATTAATTTTTTAAAATACCTCGACATGTGATTTCCCCTAATTTTTTGTACTATCTAATCTATTTCTTTTCAATAAGTTGGCATGCATTTAAGTTTGTGATGGGGAGGTGGTTAATACTAGGTTTTTATCAAGGATCAAAATTTTGTTTCAGAATGTTGTTTTGGTTAGCTTGGAAAAGGAAATACTTTGGTAAATAAAGTTTTTTTTTTTTTTTTTTTGGTTGAAAAAAGGGAAAATTTGAAAATTATTTTGAAAAAAAGCTAAATAATGCCAATACATTCTCAATAATTAAATAATTAACATGTTGAGGTTTGTGAATATTTGAAACTTATAAACAAAATGTTTAAATGTTTAGTTGGGGAATAGGTTTGCCATTGTAAGAAAAAACATTAGGAAATGCAAAATTTTAGTAGTAAGGATGAAAAAAAGAAGAAAAGTAATCTTCTCCTTTCTATCTCTCATCTTCTACCTTCTAGTTTTTCAAATTCTCTAATAAATTTAATATCTTTTTAAGATGCCACCACACTCCTCCAATATTTAGTACTTCATAAGAAAATGTTTGGAATCAGAGAATTTGTAGAAAATGCAATTTATTAAGAAACATACCCAATGATTGAAAATCGTGTTTGACATTGAAATTTTTGTAAAATGTTGATCTAGTTTCCTGTGCTTTGATTTGATTGAATCAAACTTTTAGTTCGTCAAATCAAAATTTTGAACTTGAGGGCATGTGCCAGCCATTCACCAACATGTATTAGTGAAGCTCCTCGATTTCTCCTGGTAGAGTGCTGAACTTTTCATTAGTTTGTGTTTTAATATCTCTATTTGGTTCTTCAAATCTTCCTACCAGACCTTGCACGGCATTTTATTTCTCCATTGCTCACAATACGGAGCCAGCTGCTTTAATATCATTGGTTGGCTACTTCTTTCCTCAGAACGGGCAAGGAACTGTTAGTGGTGTGCTTATTTTCTGAATGATTTGTTGTCACTTCAGATCCTAATACCATGAAGATTTCACTGAAAAAGAATGATGACGTAATTGTTGCTTTCAAGAGTTGGAGGGACTACATGGCACTAATGATTACGGATTTTCTATCAATTGTTCTTCCCATACTTCTATTTTTCACTGTAAGTGTTCGCAGTCTGATCTAAAAATTTGGTTGGGGACTTGGAGTAAAGCAACATAGGCCTTTACAGTGTGTTGCTTAGTTCTTATGAAATTTTCGACAGGGCTCATAGATCATAATTTCCACATCCTCTATGAATCTTGTGAGCGATTTTAAGCTGTTAAAATCATTAAATTTAGTCATCAATGGGGAAAAAAGTTGTCGTGAAATTTCATTTGAGGTTTTGTTTATGTATGTTTTATGTTGGGGACATTGGGTGATATTTTAATTCTTCCCTTGTTTAAATATAGACAAATTGGGATTGAGCGAGGCTTGATTATTGCTGGTGCCTTGTCATCGGAATTCTAGCTTAACTGGCTCTCTTGTCTTGGGTTTAATTATCTTTTCCTGCATATACCTTGGAGTTAATTATCTTTTCCTGTATATACCTTGTGTTTTATATAGCTGGTAAAATATGATGTTATGGATAAGAACAATTATTTAATGGCAGGTTCTATCAGAATGGACTTGTTTATGTGCAGTATTGCTGATATTGTTACTGATTTTCTCTATTGTAGCTAAAAGGTAAGATCTGGAAGTCAAATAATTTTAGTATTAATTTTTTGTTTTAATTTTCTTCTGTTATTGCTTTGATGTATGAAGTTTCACGGACATGTATAGAATGCTTGGAAATATTGCAGAAGTTACTGTTTATTAAACCTGAGTTCCGTTCTGATGTATTGATTGAAATTTACATATTTCTTTTGAAACAGACATAGAGCTCCTCTTTATGTGGAAGACGAGTTTGGTTCTCTTAGGACAAATATCTCGTCGTACAGGGTTTCTATAGTATGCAATATGCACTATGCATTCTCTCTTTTGAGTACATGATTATGCTTTCAATCTGTGGCCAAACCCTATTTTCCTTGTATTTTTTACTTCTTTTTGTTTTGTTTTGTTTTTTTTTGTTTTGAAGCCATGTAGCAGCGTTTCGACTCAACTGATCACTAATTATTGCTAACTCATATTGACATACTGAACTCAACCCCACAAACTGAAATGCCTGAACCACTGTTCAAAATTTGAGAACTCTTCACTACAGGAATCTGCACTTTTAGCGACCACTTTCCGCGACCAATATAAAAGTTGGTAGCTAAAAGTTACCTTTTGGCGACCAAAAAATGAGTTGGTTGCAGAAAGTGGTATGGTTTTGGTGACCAACTACAAATTTGGTCGCGACAAGTCACATTTTGGCGACCAAAAAATAAGTTGGTTGCGAAAGATAAAAAATAAGTAGGTTGTGGAATTGGCGACCAAAATTTTGATCGCCAAAAAACTTATTTTTAGCGACAAAAAATATTCTAGTCGCCGTATAATGAGTTTTGGCTACTAAAACAACGTAGTCGCCGAATGGAAAATAAAAAATTATTTTTTATCTTTTGGTGACCAAAATTTTGGTAGCCAAAAAACTTATTTTTAGCAACTAAAAATATTTTAGTCGCCATATATTGAGTTTTGCTTACTAAAACAATGTAGTCGTCGAATGGAAAATAAAAAATTATTTTTTCTCTTTTGGTGACCAAAATTTTGGTAGCCAAAAAACTTATTTTTAGCAACTAAAAATATTTTAGTCGCCATATATTGAGTTTTGCTTACTAAAACAATGTAGTCGTCGAATGGAAAATAAAAAATTATTTTTTCTCTTTTGGTGACCAAAATTTTGGTAGCCAAAAAACTTATTTTTAGCAACTAAAAATATTTTAGTCGCCATATATTGAGTTTTGCTTACTAAAACAATGTAGTCGTCGAATGGAAAATAAAAAATTATTTTTTCTCTTTCGACGACCAAAATTTTGGTCGCCAAAAACTTATTTTTAGCGACTAAAAATATTTTAGTCGCCGTATATTGAGTTTTGGCTACTAAAAATATTTAGTTGCCGAATGGAAAATAAAAAATTATTTTTTATCTTTGGCGACCAAATTTTGGTCGCCAAAAACTTATTTTCAGTGACCAAAAAAAAAATTAGTCGTCGTATATTTATTTTTTCCGACCAAAAAAAAGTTAGTCACCAAATTAATATTTTTTGCCGATTAATATTTTAGTCGCCGTTAATTAAGCTTTGGCTACAACAAAATTTTAGTCACCAATTATTAACATTTTGCCGACCAAAAACTACTTTTGTCGGCAAAGGTGTGAAAATTTTAGAGGGAAACCATTTAATATTGTCCTCGCCTGTTCTTTGTTTAAACAAATCGATTGTTCTCTCTCTCACATAGATTCTCCTTCACCCCCACCTCACTGCTGGTGCCTCTCTCTCTCTCTCTCTCTCTCTCTCCTAAACACCCACTGCACTAGTTGGGCTCATCCTCCTTCTCCTCCACTGGCGCTTCCGTCTGATTCGAAAGATCGTCGAGATCTGAATCAGATTTGAGTCATCGTCTGTGTTGTAGTGGGTTAGGTTTAGTGGAGTAGGTTTAAGTGGGTGAAGTAGGTGGAGAGTATGTGGATTTAGTGGGTTAGGTTTAGTGGAGTAGGTTTAAGTGGGTGAAGTAGGTGGAGAGTATGTGGATTTAGTGGGTTAGGTTTAGTGGAGTAGGTTTAAGTGGGTGAAGTAGGTGGAGAGTATGTGGATTTAGTGGGTTAGGTTTAGTGGAGTAGGTTTAAGTGGGTGAAGTAGGTGGAGAGTATGTGGATTTAGTGGGTTAGGTTTAGTGGAGTAGGTTTAAGTGGGTGAAGTAGGTGGAGAGTATGTGGATTTAGTGGGTTAGGTTTAGTGGAGTAGGTTTAAGTGGGTGAAGTAGGTGGAGAGTATGTGGATTTAGTGGGTTAGGTTTAGTGGAGTAGGTGAGGTGGTAGTGGTGTAGTGGGTTAGGTTTAGTGGAGTAGGTTTAAGTGGGTGAAGTAGGTGGAGAGTAGGTGGATTTTAACACATACCCAATGATTGAAAATCGTGTTTTGACATTGAAATTTTTGTAAAATGTTGATCTAGTTTCCTGTGCTTTGATTTGATTGAATCAAACTTTTAGTTCATTAAATCAAAATTTTGTACTTGAGGGCATGTGCCAGCCATTCACCAACATATATTAGTGAAGCTCCTCGATTTCTCCTGGTAGAGTGCTGAACTTTTCATTAGTTTGTGTTTTAATATCTCTATTTGGTTCTTCAAATCTTCCTACCAGACCTTGCACGGCATTTTATTTCTCCATTGCTCACAATACGGAGCCAGCTGCTTTAATATCATTGGTTGGCTACTTCTTTCCTCAGAACGGGCAAGGAACTGTTAGTGGTGTGCTTATTTTCTGAATGATTTGTTGTCACTTCAGATCCTAATACCATGAAGATTTCACTGAAAAAGAATGATGACGTAATTGTTACTTTCAAGAGTTGGAGGGACTACATGGCACTAATGATTACGGATTTTCTATCGATTGTTCTTCCCATACTTCTATTTTTCACTGTAAGTGTTCGCAGTCTGATCTAAAAATTTGGTTGGGGACTTGGAGTAAAGCAACATAGGCCTTCACAGTGTGTTGCTTAGTTCTTATGAAATTTTCGACAGGGCTCATAGATCATAATTTCCACATCCTCTATGAATCTTGTGAGTGATTTTAAGCTGTTAAAATCATTAAATTGAATCATCAGTGGGGAAAAAAGTTGTCCTGAAATTTCATTTGAGGTTTTGTTTCTTTATGTTTGATAATATATGTATGTTTTATGTTGGGGACATTGGGTGATATTTTAATTCTTCCCTTGTTTAAATATAGACAAATTGGGATTGAGCGAGGCTTGATTATTGCTGGTGCCTTGTCATCGGAATTCTAGCTTAACTGGCTCTCTTGTCTTGGGTTTAATTATCTTTTCCTGCATATACCTTGGAGTTAATTATCTTTTCCTGTATATACCTTGTGTTTTATATAGCTGGTAAAATATGATGTTATGGATAAGAACAATTATTTAATGGCAGGTTCTATCAGAATGGACTTGTTTATGTGCAGTATTGCTGATATTGTTACTGATTTTCTCTATTGTAGCTAAAAGGTAAGATCTGGAAGTCAAATAATTTTAGTATTAATTTTTTGTTTTAATTTTCTTCTGTTATTGCTTTGATGTATGAAGTTTCACGGACATGTATAGAATGCTTGGAAATATTGCAGAAGTTACTGTTTATTAAACCTGAGTTCCGTTCTGATGTATTGATTGAAATTTACATATTTCTTTTGAAACAGACATAGAGCTCCTCTTTATGTGGAAGACGAATTTGGTTCTCTTAGGACAAATATCTCGTCGTACAGGGTTTCTATAGTATGCACTTTGCACTATGTAGTCTCTCTTCTGAATACATGCTTTCAATCTGTGGCCAAACCCTATTTTCCTTGTATTTTTTACTCTCTATTTATTTATTTATTTTTTGTCTTCTCACAAGGATGATTGCTGCAGATGATTGTAACATGCTTGTGTATTTTGGCTGTGGACTTTAAAATATTTCCTAGAAGACATGCAAAAACTGAGACTTATGGTACTAGTTTGGTAAGATCCCTCAACCTGCTCAATATTATATTTATAAATGGTTTTGTAATAGTGGATGTCCTTTTAGAGAATTTGCTCTTTTTAAACTTTCCATGCTTTGAACTATATATTATTGGATGATAAAAAGAAAAGAAAAGAAAAGATATAGTATGCCTTAAATCATATGTTGCTTGGATTTTGCATTTTTATTTTGGGCAAAATCCATTTCCCCCTTCGTGGTTTGGCCCTGGAGCACTTCTGTCACGACCCAACCCCAGTACCCAGTGGTTTAGACGTCGCAACTAGCCAATTATAAAGGTCAATTCCAAATTTAACAGATGAATAGAGCAAGTGGAGGCAAAATAGAAAAAGTAAATAAATGGTTACCTAAAATAATTTTATAAAAAAAATCCATTGGACCTTTTATTTATTTATAAAGAGCTAGACAATAATTACAAAAAAAGAAAAGAAAAAAAGCACTATTTATTCCAAACCCTGGTCCCACTACATGGGATTAAAACCTCCTCTCTAAGTTTCATCACCTGAAAAGCCTGATATTCATTGATCACAACAACAACAGAAAAGACTTGTAGCGGCTTCTCGAAACGGTATGGCTATTCCTTCCCTTGACCTTCCTTTTACTTTTTTGACCTTATACTAGCAATTCCAACAAGAGGTGAAATAGATAGTTGAGCCCTAGTCCCATTACATGGGATTAAAACCTCCTCTCTAAGTTTTATCACCTGAAAGGATTCAACAACTATAAGTGCATGACAGAGTGATAAGCATTATACTGAGAGTACTAGGGTACAAAATCACCGTGGAAAATTATTTAGGCTAAACAATGAATAATTCAGTATGAACAAATAAATTATTTTAAACAACATAAACATAATTTAGGAATCGTATGAGCAAAATAATCATAATCATGGTAAAGGCGTGCCTAGGCGCGCGCCTAGGCGCAAGGCGAGTCGAGGTGTAGCATCTGCGCCTGTACAGGTACCAGGCGAGGCGACTTGAGCCAGGCGAGCGCCTTAGCCGCGACTTGAGCAAGGCGAGAGCGGCGCAAGGTGATCGCCTAGGCGCAACTGAGTGTTCAAGTTGTAGATCTGAACTAACGACTCAGATGAACCTTTCGAATGGCTCGTAATCACAGAGGATTACGACTCATGTACCATATGAGCGAAATAGGACTCAGATAACCCTAATCGAAGTCGTCTCTTCTCTATCAAAAAAAAAAAAGAAGTCTCTTCCTCTTCCTCTGCGACTACGACTTCGATCGACTTCGCAGGTTCGACTTCGATCGACTTCGCAGGTTTGACTCTCTCTCCCCTTCTCCTTTTTCTTTGTCTTCGATCGACTTCTTCACCTCTGTTTTTTGCCTTTGACTCTTTTTTTTTTTTTTTTTTTTTTTAATTATTTATGATGGAGTTTGTGAGTTTATAAACGTTTTTATTTTATTTAATGGGTGTGAATTGGATGAAATTTGACAACAATTTATTTTTTTTTTTTCCAATTATTTGAGTCTATTTTTTTCCTTCAGTTCAGTCCATTCCTTTTCTTCTTCTTTTCAATTATTAATTTTTTCTTCTTCTTTCGACTTTCTTTTTCTTTATTTTTTTTTTCATTAATGATTATTACATTCATTATGATTATTACATAAATAAATAAATTAATTCATACATACATAAATAAAAAAAATAGATACATTACATTACATTCATTATGATTATACTGAAATTGATTCATCATTATACTGAAATTAATTAATTCATCATTAATTAAAAAAATAGAAAATTGATTCATAACATTAATTAAGTCATACATTACATACATTGCATTACATACATCAATTAATTCATACATTAATAGAAAATTGAATGTAACATAGGAATGAATGTAATGGAATGTAATGTACATTAATTAATTAATTCATCATTAATTAAAAAAATAGAAAATTGATTCATACATTACATACATTAATTAATTCATCACATAACATGCATTACATTCATTATACTGAAATTGTTTTTTTGTTATTTATTTTTTGTGTTGTGTAGTAAGTACTAAGTAGAAAATGACATCAGAAAGTAATAGAAAAGATCCGGCGTAGCAATATACCCATTTGGTGGAGGAGAATAATTTAAACAAGTTTGAGTGTAATTTTTGTGGTAAAGTATCAAATGGAGGTGTTTATCGGGTGAAACAACACCTTGCGGAAGGTTATAGGAATGTCACTGCTTGCCCGAAGTGTCCTTCTCATGTAAGAGAAGGGATTAGAGAGTTCATGTCAAAAAAAAAGACACAAAAAGAAGAAATGAACATGTTGCTTGATTTCGATGACATGGACATGGAAGATGAAGATGATGATGTTGTTGAGATCAATGTCAATCAACACCGCAAGTTGACAAGTAGTAGCCAAGGTTCATCCAAATCCAAATCAAAAATGCCAAAGAGAAAAGGGCCTATGGATGTTTACTTCACACCCAATCCTGAATCAGTGGTGAAAAATCGAAAAGACCAAGCAAAAAGGAAACAAACCAAAATTGATGTAAATGATCCTTACAAAAAAGAAATGAGAGCTCGGGCACTGCAAAGATTTGCAAGGTGGATGTATGATGCTGGTATCCCTTTTAATGCAGTAAATTATGAGAGTTTTGGACCAATAATTGAAGCCATTGGCCAATATGGTCTTGGTATGAAGCCACCGACTTACCATGAAGTGTGGGTTACCCAACTCAAAAAAGAAGTGAAACATACTGAAGATTTGACGAAGTATCATAAAGAGGATTGTGCAAAATACGGGTGTTCCATAATGGCTGATGGTTGGACTGATAAGAGAGGAAGGACATTGATTAACTTTTTAATTAATTGTCCAAGAGGAACCATGTTTGTTGAGTCGGTTGATGCTTCTAGCTATTCAAAGGATGGGCAAAAGCTATTTGAATTACTAAACAAGTTTGTGGAGAAAGTTGGAAAAGAGAATGTGGTGCAAGTTATCACTGATAGTGCTGCAGCTAATGTGTTGGCGGGTAAAAATATTTTCTCATTCCTTACATCAAAATTGTTTACTCATAGTTTGTTTCATATTTAAAATTTAAAAACTTGAAAATAATAATTCTTCATTATTGTTACATTATAGGGAGGTTTTTGGAAGCTAAGTATGAACACTTGTATTGGACACCATGTGCTGCTCATTGTTTAGACTTGATGTTAGAAGACATTTTCAAGATACCTAGACTGAAAAAGACATTTGAAAGGGGTATTGCAGTGCATGGCTACATTTACAATCAGCCTACGTTGCTAAACATGATGAGGCGCTATACAAATTTGAAGAATTTGATCAAGCCTGCAAAAACTAGATTTGCAACCGCCTTTTTGACTTTGTCTAGGATGCATCAACAAAAAAACAATTTGAGAAAGATGGTCACTTCTGAAGACTGGACCTCAAGCAAATGGGCAAAGGAGCCACAAGGTAAAAGAATGGCACGAACTTTGTTGATGCTTTCATTTTGGAATACTGTTGTGTTTGCCCTTAAGGTCTCGGGTCCTCTTGTCAAAGTGCTTAGATTGGTTGATACCGAGAAGAAACCTCCCATGGGATACATTTATGAGGCAATGGATAGGGCAAAAGAATGCATTGCAAGTTCATTTGATCATAAAGAAGAGAAGTATAATGAAATCTTCGAAATCATTGACAAAAGATGGGATGTCCAATTGCATCGACCTTTACATGCAGCTGCGCATTTTCTTAATCCAGAATTCTTTTACCCAAAAGCGTTAGAGGTGCAAAGAGATCATGAAGTGATGAATGGGTTTTATGAATGCACGCAAAGGTTGGTCCCGGATGTCACTGTTCAAGATTTGATCACTAATGAGATGAGTATTTATATGAAGGCTAAGAGTCTTTTTGGCAAGTCTGTTGCGATTAGGCAAAGAAATACAAGAGCACCAGGTAATATATTATAGACTCATAGAGTTTATTTTTAGTAATACTTTTAGTAAAACTTAATACTTGGTAACAATTATTTCTAACTAGTGGATTATCGTAGCTGATTGGTGGGTATCATATGGTTCTTATACTCCAAACTTGCAAACTTTTGCCATAAAGTCCTTAGCCTAACATGTAGTTCATCGGGTTGTGAACGAAATTGGAATGTATTCGAACATGTGAGTATTTAACATTCTAACTAATTTTTTGTTCAATTCAAATATTTTTTATTCTCATTATATAGAATTTAATAACTTTTTAATACTTGCAGCTTCATAACAAGAAAAGAAATAGATTGGAACAACGTCTCAATGGTTTAGTGTATGTCAAATACAATAGAACATTGAGATTTAGGTATGACATGCGCAACACTCTTGATCCCATAGCTTTGCAAAATATTGATGAAAGCAATGAGTGGTTGCTTGGGAGGATGGATGGAGAATCAGATGAAGATAATGAGCCTGTGTTTGATGATGATGATGGCTTGACGTGGGCCACTGTTGCTAGAGCTTCTGGAGTAGAAGAAAGTAGCCATGCAAGTAGAGCAACAAGTTCACGCTCAAAGGCACAACCGATGATATCTAAATCATCAACATTGACTCCACTTCAATTAATAGATGAAGAGGAAGCGGGCTCAGATGACATAGAGGAGGAAGATGTTGAGGGATACAAATCAACTGATGGAGAAGAAGATGATAATTTGCTTGCCATAGATGTTGAGGATGATGATTGACTGACACCGACCTAACCTACCCTTTCTTTTGATATTGATGTTTTTAAGTGTTAAGACATATATTAGTATTTGTTGGATATTTATGTTTTGGATGTTTAGTGTTTATGTTTTTATTTTATTGAATGTGGATTATTTGATCTTTGAAAATTGGAATGCCATATGTCTTTGTCTTCAGGTTCTAACCCTTAGGTTTAACCAAGAGTCATCCAAAGCTTAACCAAGAAGAGCCTAATTGAATTTTGACCTTTGTAAATAAGTACTCACATTATCATCCTCTTTGGTAACACACAATGACCCCTAATTACATTTTATCACATATAATTATAAAATTAAATATACCTTTTTTTTTGTTGACCTGATTGATGCGATATTAAAATTAATTACACATTTTGAGGTGTCACAACTTCAACCCTGACATTTAAAAATAGTCATTTCACCCTCATGTGGTTTGGGGTTAAACAAAGTGCAATGCTAACTCCATTATGTAAAATGACCTAAATCTCCTATTTCTTTTCTTGTTTTCTCTTCTCTCTGCTCTGTTAACCACATATTATCCCAAATTCCTCTAATTTCACCACCCAGTTTCTAACTTAACTACATATTAACTCAATTAAACCTAATTTTTCCCCACATATTTACCCAATTTATGGCATTTTGGGAAAAGTGAAAATATGTAACATCTACACCATGTCTGGTGTAGGCTTTTTTTAATAGTATATATACATATTCACTGAATTTTCAATTGATCAAAGAAACATAAATGCAAAGGGAAAAAAAAAAAAAACCTAGGAAACTGAAATATGCACACAACGAAAATATAGTGAAAATTGGAAAGCATATGTACATACATGGATATATATATAGCTAGATTGGGATGTTTACTTCACAGAATTGAACTCAGAGCAAGTTGCATTCATGACCAAGGACTACCATTTCTACATGAATCTGATGGGAGGATTGGCATGGCTGTCCTGAAATCATAGACAGTTCCACACCTTGTGGATGCAATACATGCAGCTGTTACTCGTGTTTAAAAATTGCACATAGTTAGGCTGTTCTTTATTAATGTTGGTGATGTCCCTCTTCTTTTTGATAGTTTTGTTGTAATAATAACCACCTCAATGGCTTGGGATAGAAATGAAATGTATGATTATGTGGCAAAGTAATAAATTCCAATTTGGAGCACCAAAATCATTGTAGGAGTCTTAATAGAGGAAGAGAGAGAGAGAGAGAGAGTGTGTGTTAAACACACAAGTGGCAGACAGGTTGGCTAGGGACGGGAGAGGAGGTGGCAGAGGTGTTGGAGGTTAGGGTTTTCAAAATGGGGAAGAAGATTTGTCTTTTTGCATTGACATTTGACTTAATTGTCTAACAAGCCAACTCTCAAAATAGGCACATGTGGCGTAGTTTTTGTTAATTTGGATGAAATTTGTAACAGTAGGGACATCAACTGCAAAATGGGCTGAAACTATGTGTGTGCGCTTTGCATATATTAGTTTTAGTGCTTATATTTCTCTGAAAATTGTTGATGTTTTGAATCATTTGACTTTTCCATGTATGATTCATATTATTTGTTCGTAATTTTTTCTCATGTGCTCGTAAATAGTAGATCCATTGTTGTTGACAATTGTGGTAAACTCATTTGTCCTCACTTTATGCGCTCATGATGTGACTTTGAAAATTGAACTCATAAAATGCCATCGTTTATTTATTTTTATTTTTTATTTTCATTTTTAACTACTTCAGATGGATCTTGGGGTAGGCTCATTTGTTTTGGCAAATTCATTAGTTTCACGACAAGCTCGGGGTTTCTCAACATTGTGAGTCATTTATGCTCTTTTGTCTTTTAATTATTGTTTTTGACTTCATCTTATGAATTAAAATGACAAACCTAACTCTTCTTTCATGAGGAGAAATTTATTAATTCAAATATAAAAATTGCTGGCATATAATTATTCAACATTGAATGCCTTTTCCTCCTGACCATTTTATGAACCTTGCAAGTAAATGTTAGATTTTTGTCCACTTGCCTTGTGTTCTTTTCTCCCTTTAGATATATGATTATGTACCTGCTTGTATTATTTTGGAAATAAAGTTAATTTGCTTGAATATAATTAGTATCTTTGAATAGTGCAAGAATTTGCGTGAGGACTATGTTGATGGCTGATGTGGTAGTCACTAGAATGTCTAAGCCCGAATAATGAGGCCGCCATTTTATATATCCAAAAAATAAAAAATAAAAAATAATGAGGCCACCATTTACGGCAGTGCCAACTTAGATTTTGTTGACTGCTAATTTTATCAAAACTCAGAGTACCTAAAGGAAAAAAATTGTGATTATTTATTTGTAGATTTTTTAGGAGTTCTAAATTTTGTGGTGGGTCTATAGATTTTGTGTATTCTTCCCGTCTACAGGATCTCGCTTCTTTTGGCATCCCTAAGGAAATCCAAATTTAATCCAAAAATAAATAAAATAAATGTCATGTTCTTGTTTGCCATTCACTTATTTATTTTCATTTTGTTTGTTAAAATAGAATGTTTAGCATTAACTATTACAATTTCTAAGATAATGCTTTTCTATAATTAACTATGCTGACTTTCATATCGTTCAATTATTTTTATGTTGACGATGAGGTCCCTGTTTGTACCCTTCAGGAAATTGAGAAACGCACTTCAATCTACTAGTCCTCTTATTATTCTAGGGATAGCTCGACTTGTTTCCACAGCACATGTAGACTATCAGGTAAAATAATCCTTAGTTTATCTCTATTCATTGGTCGTAAATGGTATACTTCCATTGCTGTGTATTGAGAAGCAAAGCACAATGAAGTTATTTGTTTTTTATAAAAGCTGATTTTTATTGGGTGTTTTTTGGGATTTAAGTCACCTGATTTGCTTGACAAGGTGGCGAACTGCACTCTAGTGCATGGATTGACGAATTTTGTACCAAATTGTGTCAACTCTGGGAATTTAGTGGGTCAAGTCTGTGAATTTAAATGCTCAAATTCATGAATTCTATGTGAATTTTATTGTTACTACCCATTTACTGCCACTTGTAAACAACTTTGGAAGTTCTAATGCGTGGACTAAGCTGCACACTCTTCCGCAACTGAGCAGTTAAGTGCAATAATTACTAGTGCCTATGTGTCACAAACAATGCTATACGGAAGCTCATTACTATCAATGTGAAAGGACATTGTTGAGACATTAACTAATAGGCTTCTTGCTTTTATCTGTTACCAATGTGGGATTGTTGCAAGTGAGATTGGTGCGACTGCACAACTACTTGTGAAATTTTCTTCTTCATCATGTTGTGAGAGGCATTTGAGTACATATTCTTTTGTGCACTAATTGAGAAGAAATAAGATGACACCAAAATGTTTGGTTTTCATTCATAGCAATCTCCCCTTTCTATTGAGAAGATTCTGCAATATGCGAAGACAAACCAATATGTGGGATATAGCAGACGATGCATTTGATTCATTTGAGGATGTTGGAGAGCTTGAAATCACACCATTCTCTCTTGATGAACTAGAATTGGAGGCCATAGTCTTTTTGGATGATGGTGTTGGAGGTGATATTGGTGCAAAGGTAATTGAAAAATCATTTGATCCAACTTCAATTGCCTTTACACCAATAAAAAAAAATATAAAAAAAATCTTTTACTTTCTATCAAAATAGGTGAAACGATTTTGTTTCCTAAGAATCTGATAAGAATAATTAGTGGAAAATTGAAATTCCAATGTTTCAATCAAAACATAACAAAATGCACCAAAACTCATTAAAATCTTTCCATTTTCATCATGGTTATTAGAATCCCGATCTAGATCGTAGGATCGTACGATTCTACGATCTCAGTTGGGCCAAACGATCCGGATAACACTTGAATCTTAAATTTAGTAGGATCTTAAAGTCACTACAATCTTAGTCATAAAATGATGTAGAATCGCACATGATCCGGACCCTACCAATTTTTTTTATTATTTATTTCTTATATATATGTATATATCTATATAAAAAAATTTGACTATAAACTCATTTTTCAAACGTCTTCTCTAATTTATGTTTACAGAGAATATACATTATATTAAATTTATCAATTTTCTTTAATCTTTTTAAAATTATGCTACAAAGATTATCATTATCGATAAATTTTTATTTTGCATTAAAAGTAGGATTTTAAGATTCTCGATTCGATTCTACGATCCGCTTGGATTTAACAACTTTGATTTTCATGCCTTTTCTGGCAACAACAATTTCTCGTAGGTCGACAAATGAAAACTAAACATACTTTTCCTTCTGAAAGTTTGTTTTATGGAGCATAAAGTACTTGTTCACTGCACTTTAGAAGTTAAATTGTTACCTAGTTATGATTCTTGTATGTGAGGCCAGTCTTCACTTTTTCCTTGCAGGTCCACGTGGGCGAATATGGAGTGCACTGGAATTTCTTTTTCACACTTGCTGCTGTATCAATCCTAACATCAATAATTAACGTTCCCCCAAAATATTCTGGGGTTCTTGGTTCATTGATTCTTGTAGGTATACTTCCGTTTGTTTTATTTGTTTACATTTATTCTTTGGAAACCATATTTCCTTTTTTATATAATTTATTTTTAGCTCACTTTTTTATTTGATTTGATTTCAATTTTTAGGATACCAAGCTGGCTTGATGTATGGTTTAAATGTTTATTTGCTTTCTAATGAAAGAGGAACAGACATAATTAGCCAAAACAAGGAGGGAATTTTTAGCATATTTGGTGAGGGCTACTTGGATTAATTTAGTGGTTTCTTAAATAGTTTCTTGTTTGGTCTATGTATTGGATTTATGTTGTTGTATTGAGGAACTATTTAGTGTATTGAGGAACTATTTAGTGTTTTCGCAGTTACTTTTGCTCATTTAGGAACTTTTTTGTGATATTATACTAGATATTGCTGTTTTTCCTCTGTGTGGTTTTTATTTTGGACCCATGTGCAACCCCGTCTTGCACGAGGAAAGAAAAATAGAGAACCAAACAGAAGGAGAAACAAACAACCAAGCAGATAAGAAGAAACAAACAGGAAAGAATACGAAATGCCAACGGAGAGACTTGAACCCAAGATCTATCTCAGCCTGAGCTCTAATACATGTTAAGTCACCACTTATCCCAAAAACCTAAGCAGTTAGGAAATGGGCCCAACGATGTATATTAATCGATTGGAGTTCCTTCAGTGTTCTCAAGTACTGCATTAGATTTTCTTAGAGGCTAGGAGGAAGGAAGGTGTGAAATATTGGCTCTCTTTGCCTTTTTTATATGCATTTAGAGGATGCAAATAGAAGTACGGGTGAGAAGATGAAGAACTGATGTATGGTTGGGCTTTGGGGAGGGTTAATCCATCTTTGAGAGTTTTTTTTTTTAACTCTGTAGATGGCATGGATACTTTTGTAAAGCTTTGTTTTTCTATACAATGTTTATACTTGGGATGACGTCTCCTTCTTTTGGTGCCTTTACTGATAAAATAACTCATTTAAAAAAATGTTCTTGTATATATTAGCCCTATATCCAATCAGGTCCAACCTGCAACCTTAATTAGTAACTAAGAACATTAAATGCAGTATGTATAATATTTAGGCAAGACTTGTATGTGGGTATATTTTACACTTCAGTTGTTAATTGTACTTGATACTAAATTCTTCCCAAGAAAGTGATTGTCTTTCTTCTCAGGATATTGGGGTATGTATCTTGTTGGTGTCCAATTGGGCAGCTATCTTTTCTTTGGAAACTCTAGGCAAGTGTCGAGATCCAATAAATGGGCAAGAATTAGAGTCTGGATTCTCTCTTTTTTGTTTTGGTATGCCTTTATTGCTGTGTTGTTTGTCATCTCAATATCTTCTGCTCCCATTATAATTATTTTATTTTAGATTTTGATTCATTCTGAATGGTGCAGGTTATTAGCTATGCTTCTAGACAGGAATGTGGAAAGAGTTTCACGCCGAACGGTAGGGCATATTCACTGTTAACTTCTCTAATAATTTGGACTTATAATGATAACAATGTTATTATTTATAAAAAGGAAAGATCCATTCTCAATTATAAGCTTAAAATTGTCAAAACTAATGGAAAATTCTTTTGCAGTGCAATATGGCTTATGTCACTTTTGTACTGGCTCAAAATCTCCAGGTTATTATAATTTTTCCTTTCTTCTGCAAATAACATCTGAAATATGATGGTTTTATCTATTTTTGATGTTGTTTAGTGGTCAGCATATTTGATAGTTTTGCTTCTGTTGACTTGTATTTCCAGTGTCAATGATTCATTATGGTAGCTTATCTGAAAGTTAATCTGGCTGATTGGGACTGCTTTCCTTTTACAAGTTATTAACTGTTTGGTTTTTATAGTATATATTATCAATTCTTGTCATTTACAATAGTGTTTGTATAGTAGGACTATTTTCTTTGTTGGATCATTTGGCATTGAATTACCCATTAGGCAATTGGCAGAGATTCATAAGTTGGATAATTTTTTCTTGGTTTACGAGGGAATTTTTTTGATGGTTTTGATGAATCTGTTATGAGTCAGTCAAGAAAAGGCCCACTACATGTGGGCCGTTGGGAAGGGTGGATTAGGTAGAGGCTCAACTTCCCGAATGGTGTAGTATACTTAACGACATGGAATGGACAACCTTCGGAAGAGAATATGGTTATGTGACAGCTGTAGACACTTCCATTACAGTGACTCATTTTGATTTTTTGCGTCTTTTATGTTCATTTGATTTGTGTTGAATGCATAGGGTGTCTCTGTAAATAAAGTAAGTTTTGTTTGCAAGGCCAATACTCCGGTAAGTTTTCATTTTTCTGGCCATGAATCTACTCCTGTACACCCCCTTTATCCCATGTATCAGAAATGTATCTAAAAATAAAAATAAAAATTATTAATTAAATAATATTTGAGGATATGTATTGAAATGTATCCACATATGTTCGACGCATTGTGTTCGATACATATCAGATATGGATATCCATGCTTACTAGATTCCAAATTTCCAAGTCTATATAGGTTGCATCAAAGACCCAATGTTTATATTTTCTATCTAAGAAGCACGGACATCTATGAAGCACGGATACTTCAAAAAGGGTGACGTATCCGTATCGGATACTTATCTGATACCGATACTCCTCGGATACTCGCGGATACGTATCGGATACTTCTTAAAAGTATCGGATACTTCTTAATTAATTTTTTATTAATTTTGAAGTATCGGATACTTAATTTTGAAGTATCGGATACTCGAAGTTACATATTACTTATAATATTTTATTTAGTTCTTTGATAAAAGGAATATAGTGAGAGTTAAAGTAATAGAATTTGTCAAATTGATGTATCCCTGTTGTCTCTCTCACTTCTCTCTCGCTTTCTCACTCTCTCACGTTTCTTCTCTCTGCTCTCATTCTTTTTTTGATGTTGGCATGTAAGGATGATGTTTAATTTGCATTTGCTTTTGCTTTTAGTTTTGGATGTTTTATGAATGTTTGAGCACTTTATGTTAATAGGAATCCCTCTCTTTACTTATTAATTTACTTTAAGTTTTATTTTCATGCATATTACATTATTAAAATTATAAATTTTCTTTTTTACGAATGTATTCCCGTTGTACCCGTATCATATTTTTTCAAGTTTTGACATATCGCCATATCCACATCCCCATATCACCATATCCGTATCCATGCTTCCTAGGCTATTATTGATGACTTAAAAAAGTATATTTGTTGAAATTTTTATTTAAGAATGGTTTTTTGGCTTTAGTTAAGGTCTTGTGATATTCACTGATGAAGGGGAACAAGTTGAAGCTATTGACCTTGAAGACTCTTAGTTTTATAGGAATCTTTCTTCTTCATCAAGTTGTCTTTTGCTTTAGGTTTTATTTTTATGCATACTGCATTACTAAAAATTGTTAAAATAATATTTTTTACGAACGTATCCTCGCCGTACCCGTGTCTTAGTTTTTCAAATTTTGTCGTATCGCCGTATCCGTATCGTATCGTATCCGTATCCCGTATCTGTATCCGTGCTTCCTAGACGGACATGAACATGGCACGGAAAAGCTGACATGTAATTTTCAAAAAATGTCGGACACGTGCAAAATATATAATTTTATATATTTGGTTGTGACTTATTTTATTCCCTCATATTTTCCCTTTCAACGTCATTGTCATAGTTTTTGCAATTGGTAAGATTGCCCATGTTAATCAATAATCAGAGTAGTATTATAATGATTATGGAATGCACTTTGTTATTTAAAATATTGATATGCATCCCTCTAAAATTTTGCAATTTTTCAGGTCTTAGCAATCCTCATGTTGTCTTATTACATCCCCGGACATAAGATTTCTGTGCTGGAAGAAGCATTCAACCGAAATCAACTGGCATCATTTCTTCTGGTGAAAGATATATCCTCTTCTTTTATTATTTGTAAGGCTAGTGCTATACAAATAGAGCTATATCTTAAGAAACATGGACACGGATAAGTGACCCTACACAGACACGACGACACGAAAAATTTCAAAAAATATAGGATATAACACGTGGGGACACGTGCAATATAAATACTTTTATATATTTATTATATGTAATATATAAGGATAAATAATTATTATATGTCATGTATGAAATATAATAATTTTTTAAGTCTGAAAGAGGAGAATATATACAGTTATGTTGTTTTTTGTTTTTTGGTTGGCTTCTAAATTATTTTATTCAAACTTGTAACGTATTTTATGTGTATCTAAGTGTTGGGAAGTGTCCGACAAGTGGAGTTTCGGTGTCTGACGTGTAAGCCACAACATTTTACCTTTTTAGAAGGGTCCATGCTTCTTAGACCATATAATTATTAACATGTAGAATGGTGTGGTAAATGACTTGCTTATCATGTGAAAATTACTGACTGTATTTTAAAACTGCTACTACCATGCCATTCTGGATACGCATTTTTGATAGGATTCATGTCTGCAAAATAATTTTTCTGTTTGTGAATACCTTTCATCCTCTGTCAAGGTAAAGATGGTAAACTAATAATATATTGATATTCATCTGTGCAGGCAAATTTGCTCACAGGGTTGGTAAACTTGTTTGTTGATACCTTGTTTGCTTCATCATTCTCAGCCCTCGCTATATTGGTTGTATATATGTTTATTCTATCCCTTCTTGTTGGTTTTGCCGACTTTTATGGCATTAAGTTGAAATTTTGGTAAAGTGGAACTTTTATCTAGTGTATATAACTTTCCTTTCGATTCGACAAGATCCAAATTTTGGTAGGGTGGGCCTATTGCTGGTCATGTGTTTCACATTGTATGTTTAGAAATCAAAGGGAAACAAATTTTCTACTTTACTTTCCATGAATATTCATGTGCTCAGCATTCAGCAATAGTGTTCATGGAAGATCTCTACCCTGAAAATGAGGTAGGTGGCTGCTATCTGTCTGAAGGTTCTATAGAGGGCAATATACTTTTCTCCTCTGTTCTATTTTTGTTTTCTTTTGATGTATGAATCATGTAACGTAAATAATACGCTTGACATAAATTCATACCCAAGCATGTATATGTAGGAGTTTACAAATATGCATAAAACTGTTGGGTAGTGTAACAATGGTATTTTTGGTATCAAATGTTTCACATGGATGTAAGATTTACATGGGACTTATATTGTGTGGGTCTAACACTCATGTGAGATATTTGGTAGAAATTTTGATAGAATTTTTGAGTATTTAGCATTACTCTTTTTGGTATTCTACAATTTTGCCGTAGTGTCTTAATATTATGAATCTTGAGTGATTCTACTTACACAACTAGTTTACTTCTTTACACTCTTCATATGAGATTTTTATTTTTTTTAAATTTTACCTGTGCAAAATTACTTTGAAGAACAAAAGATTAAAATTAAATATATTTTATTATCTCTTTACACCCATTGTTCTTTAATTCCTATTGCTTTTTTTTTTTTATTACATATTTCTTTTCTAAAAGTGAGAATAATAGTTTTTGATCATAGAAGAAAGTAATGGATGAAGAAATAGTGGTGAATAACCATCAAAAAAGTGAAATGGTGAGTTTTATTTTATTTTATTTGTTTGGTAGGTTTTTGTTTTGTTTTTTGAGATAGTTCTTTGATTTTTGTTGGGCGTCAAAATCGAACAAAATAAAATAATTTAAAATTACATTGCCAAACAAAAAATATATGTCCAATAACCTACTGATAAATGAAAGATACATTTTCGGTAACTCAAGGCCGAGCGTTTTTAGTTTGTTTGGTTACTCACTATTGTGCATTGTCAATTTCAATTATATATATATATATATATATGTACTGATTGGAAGCATTGTGCTTCTATTTAACCCAGCATATAAAGTATAATCACTAAACATTTTGAAGGACCTTCATTTGTTGGTAGATTGTTTGAGGATGAAACATAATTGTTAGTTGACATATCAAACAATATGGTACCAAAAGAGATATTGATTACATTGAAATAAATGGATGCTTTTAATGTGACAACAATGAAGACAATCTATAGTGCACGTAAAACGACATGTAATTAGATAAATTTATTTTAGTTTGGCAACATGACGTTGGAGTAATTTAATTTGTATATGTACTACCGAACATGCATTTCATAAATGGGTTTTAACTAATTTTTTGTTAAAGTAATGTAAAATCAATCAATCGAACGATAATAAATGTTTGGAAAAAATTAGGTAGTGTTTGGTAGAGTTTTAGAATTATGATTTGAGAATAGAGTTGTATTTTGAGTTTGTGAATTTTGAAATTATGATTTGAGTGCGAAAAATTTGTTTATGAGTTTTAAAAAGAGTTTGAAATTTTTGATGTGACATGATATTTTATTCAAAAATTTACAATTCATAACCCTACATACAATCCAAAATTCTATTCAAAATTCATAAAAAATTTTAAAAAAAATTTAAAAATATTTTTTATTTAAAATATAAAATTAACAAATGCAAAAAAAAAAAAAAGAAAAGAAAAAAACACTAACACTATTTCGGTCAACTGGCCGAACGTCAAGGTAGACGTGTTTTGAAAAGTAGATGTGGAATAAATTTTTAAAAACGCTAACCAAACACCATGTACAAAGCAAAGGGTGGAATTGAGTCTTGAAAGTTTAACCAAACACAGCCTTAGTTTTTCTAGTAACACGACATTGGAGTAATTAAAATTCTTTAGCATTGTATTACCAAAAGCTATCGGTGTAAAGATACAAAACTCAAAAGGTTTTAAAAAGTTTTTAATTTAGGGTTAGTTTTGATAATATAATGGGTATAATGTGAATTACATTTTGTTTAGTGGTCTAATAAGATGGATGGTGTAAAGACTTAAAGGTGGTGTTTGGAAAGGACTTCTTGGGCAAAATTAGCCATGTAAGGACAAAAAAGTTGATTTTAGCCACATGGAGACAAAAACTTCATAATTACTTGCCACCAACCATTGTCAAGGTAAATTTACAAATCTACCCCCACATGAGAGAGGGGCATCACCTCAGTGTTTCCCAGACAAAAGCTTCACAGTCACTTCCCAAAAAACACCTATTTCCAAAAAAATACACAGGACGTTGAAAAAAAAAAATTAAAAACATTTTTTTGGTTTAAGGTTAAAAAAAATCATTTGGGTTAAGGTTAAAAAAATATTAATAAAAATAAAAAACACATGAACAAACCATTTGCCAAAAAAAAAAAAAAAAAAAGACCTTAAAATACACAGGACAATTATTTAAAACTTCACTTTTTATCATTTTACAGAAAATTTAAAAAAAAAATTTAAAATCAACATAAAAAAACACATGAAAAAACCAAGACCAAAAAAAACAAACAAAACAAAACTAAATTAATGTAATAAAAAAAACAAATATTAAAATGACCAAAAAAAACCATTTAGGTCAACAATTCCATAGCACAGCTGCCGAAATAAAAATAAAATTAAAAAAAAAAGAAAAAGAAGGGAAAGCGAGTGGTGACGTCACAGTTGGACAAAAATTAGTTGCAGGGGCAGTTTAGTAATATTACATATGGACACCTGACCAAAAAATCAAAAAGTCAAAAAAGCCAAAAAGTCCTTCCCAAACCAGGCTTTTTAACCCCAGGCTAAAATAGTCAAAAAAGCTAAAAAGTCAAAAAGTCAACTCACTTCCTAAACGGAGGCAAAGTAGTGGTGTAAGTAGAATCACTTTGAATCTTTTAGTTAGAGTGTTGCATCTTGATGTATTATATTCCAACACTTTCAGGTCAATTCATTGAGTGGCTCATTGAATCAACTCAGTGGGTTGACCCAAATTCTAGAAGAGCAAGTGGATAAGTTGCATTTCTAAAACTTGAACTTGCAGCATCAACTGCCAAGCAAGTTGGCAAGTTGAACTCAACTCATTGAATCAGCTCAGTGGTTGACCCAAATTCTAGAAGAGCAAGTGGACAAGTTGCATTTCTAGAACTTGAACTTCCAGCATCAACTTCCAAGTAAGTTGGCAAGTTGAAGCCTTGGAAAAGTACTCTTTTGTTCCCACATTTTGGTGTATAAATAGGGGTGCAAGTAGTGTGTAAGAGAGAGCATATGAGAGCAAGCGTGAGTGAGTGTGAGTCGAGTTTGAGAGTCTCTCCCTCCTTTATTGTTGTATTTATTTGTTCTCTTAAAATTAGTGAAAATTAATTCCCATGAATGTAGGCCCATTGTCGAGCCACATAAAACTTATGTGTTTCTTGTTTAGTTGCTTGTTTTGTGTATGTTCCTGGGTCTTGGACATAACACTTGGGATGTATGAAACATGTAACGTAAATACGTACCCTTGACATACATTCATACCTAAACAAGTAATATGTATGAGTTTACTATTCAAATATGCATAAACTGTTGGGAAGTGTAGATATTGATAACTATTGAACACTAACCATGGTATTTTTGATATTCTACAATTAAACCTTGTTGTCTTAATACTATGAATCTTTTAGTTAAAACGTTGCACCTTTCTGTGTTATAAAACGTAATAACCATAGATATAGACTTATTCTAGTGTGAATCACGTGAATCATTGTATTATTATGTATTTGATTTAGATTCTTATTTTATTCTTTTTTACGTTTCGTGTCTCACTCTTGGTTAAGTGTATCAATTGCTAACAAAAACGTCAATTATATATATAAAATGCTATACTTTCGTTCGTATACATAATTCTACCCATAATTTTTTTAAAAAAATATATTAAGAAACAGTTCTGTCATGATATTTTTGATCTGAGAATTAGATGAATCTGACGCTCATACTCTTACTTGCATTTGACACTCGCACTCGTGAATTAGATAAATCCAACGCTCATACTCATACCTGCATTTGACACTTGCACTCAAGTCACTGTAACATAGGCTGATCCATCAATTGACATGCACATGCTCTAGCATGTTATCTGGGCTATACAATGTACAAACTCATGATGCAATGAGGTATACATGTTTCTTGTGTGCTGTTTTATGTAGAAGATTTAGAAAGGGATTTGGATTTGGAAAGGGAAAGGGAAAATGTAAGTAAAATGTGAATAAAATATACCTATATTTCACTTAATTGCACACATCTTTTCTCCTTTTTTTTCCTAAATTTCATTTTAAATCCTTCAACCAAATACAACCTTAGTGAATACTGTGCATGGGTGTTTTTGTTTTTTTAGCTGTAGAAATAAACAGTGCAATAAAGGAAATGCAGCTGGAGCTATAAGCCACTTGGTACTTGGGTGGCCAAAAAAAGGCAGAAGAGAAAGAAATGGAAAATCTTTGAGAAAGAGATTTTGAATGAAAATGATTCCTGATATGTACCTTTGAAGGAGGGAGAAGCTGGTGATCACATGGATTCCTCTGCATGGGAGTTCTGACAACTTGGACCATGGTGGGGGAGGCCGACAACCCCCCTACTCTCATCAGTCCTCATCACCAGACAAGGCAAGGCAACACTTACCACTGTTTCTAGTTTTTTTCCCTCTCCAACTATAATATATAATATTCATATTGATATATGTATATATGCACACACAAATATGTGTTACAATACTGCATTGATTATGTATGTGCATGTGGGATGGCTTTGCTTTGAGAAGTGACTGGTCATTTTATTGCTGTGCAACTCTTTTGGGAGCTACGTTACATCCCCTTCTCTGTGAAGTACTGGGATTTGCTTGGTTATATGCCTTGTGTAATCTTACTGTTACTAAATCTTGGATTTGAGGTACATGTGGAAAGAGAGGAAAATGGAAGGAAAAAGTCACAAAATTTTTAACTTTTTCACGTCTACAAATATCTTCTTAAATTTAAAATTCAAAATTCAAATACAAGCTAAATGATCAATGTGTTATTCTTGAGTTAGGTATCTTTGTACCCAGTATTTCAGTTTCTTTATTTTTAATGCACTCTCAGCCACGCAATACGGTAGTGTGAATTTTAAAACACAATTATGCGGTTGTGAACCTATTGGGAAAGAGGACAGTAATTTTGGAGGAGGATCCTGTGTCATAATTTTTGTATCTTACCTACCTTTGCTAAAGGGGTGCTCATCTCATTGCCAATTGCCAAGCATCAACCATTGTTTCAACTTCATTCATCAGAACTGAAAAGGGCAAAGATTACAGACAACAAGTATGTAAACTTTAAGTTAATTATAAGAAATAAGAAGACATTAGTGGACATGGAGTGGTGATTTTGTTACATGGTCTTGGGATGATACTGAAATAGGAGTTAATTGATAATGGAAGGGAAGGATTAGTGTTAATATAAAAATATTTGAAACGAATCTAAAGATTTTAATTTACATAAAATTAAAATGATTGTACATTTCTTAATTATTTACTATTATGAAGAAATGTACATCCATTTTAAGAGTGGTAAGTATTGTAAAAGCATCCACTAGTAACACACTAGATTTATAAATTGGAAAATATACAATTATAATATATTTTTTAATCAATATTTTGACATTACTAGTTAACAAGTGTCATCTATTGATTTTAGTGCTATTATGTTTATGATTTCTCATTGTCACTAGCAGGTTGACAGGTGACATAACATTGACCTTCATGTGGGTTCTTTTTTTAGTCACTCATGAAAGTGCTAAGCAAAACACCTAGCAGTAGTAGTCCTCCCGATATAATCAGCAGTGACATTCATTGGGTGACCACCAGGACACATTATTCCGTATAATTTTTTAGGAAAATTTAGTCAAAATTTCTTTATTAGATTCTTGGTCGGTGAAAAAGACAATTCAATTTATTTATTTTCATAAACTCCTTAAAGAGAAAACACATAATTGAATAAGGATAAAGTAGATTTTTTTTTCTTGGATAATATTACCACAGTAACATGTTACTGTCAAAAAGAGTGACATGTCACTGTGAAAAAGAGTAACATGTCACTGTGAAACAAAATAATATGTTACTGTCAAATATAATAATTGTTCAACAGAGTAACATGCTACTGTTACTGTTTACATCAATTCCAATGGTAATAATTTTTCTTAAAAAAAGAATTTCATAGTTAACATAGATCTTTTTTGATAGCTCTTGATGAGAGAATTCTAAAAATATTAATTTTATTAAAAACAAAAATTTACATCAAAAGTTATATTATTTTAAAGCTTAATATTTTGATAATAGTGATATTTGTTAGATTTTTCAAGAAAAACCTTTTATGCTTATCCTTAATGCATTAAAATTTTATTATGAGAAGGTTTTGACCAAATCTCTCAATTTTTTAATCCTCCTAATTTATTATTTTTAGGACTCATAATGATGTGGTATTGAGATTAGACTCCACATGATAAAATATTTGACAAATTAAAATTTAACACTCGGTAATGATACATCCCACTAAAAGTGGTGTTCTAAAGCATCACTAATAAGTTGGCAAGCACTTTAAATAGGAAAAAAAAAACAAGACACAAGCAGTGGGCCTCGTCTACTGCCACATCACTAGTGGTGCTTTTAGAGCACCACTTTTAGTGGTCTCAAGCATTATTGATCTTTTATATAGTGCAAGGTACGATAGAGGTAACTTAGGGTTGGTTTGACATATTTGAAAAAAGTCAAAAAGTTAAAAAGTCACTATCCTATTTAAGTTATATCATCTTATTTAAGTCACATCACCTCTCTAACACATCACTTCAAATCCAACCCATATTTCATAAAAAGTCAAAAAGTACACTTATTTAGATCATCCCAAACAACCCTTAGTAATTTTTTTGGACAACTCAACTTTTAAAAAATACAAATGTTAGAAATTTAAAAAAATATATACATTAAAAATATTACATGATATTTATATGGGTGTAAATCTCACATGGTGTGAGTTTCAAATCTATACTAGTATTGTGCAAATTTTTTGATAATTTAAAAAATAAAATAAAATCCCCTAGCATGGCTTAAAAAGAAAAAAAAGAAAAAAGAAGATTAGAACGTGAAGAGTAGCTTTTGAACAGCTGCTTGTGCTGTTTTTATTCATATTTTTCTGTAATATATATATTAGACATAGATTGGGCTTAATAGGTCCCCACTTCTCTTCACTGCAGAAGACTGTGGCAGCGTGTGCTCCCCAGCAGCATCTATGAAAAATTGGGTACAAAAACAAAAACAATTTAGAGAGAGAGAGAGAGAAAGAGCCTCTCATCTCTTTTTCTCGCTTTTTGAAGCAGAAAAAGCACAATGCCTTTTCTGCCCTCTGACCTGTACTATCATATTCTTTCATTGTAACCCCTCTCTCACTCTCTGAGTTCAAAGAAATTGGCTTTTGCTATAAATTAGAGCAAGTCAAACAGCATATATAATTGTAACCACATTAGAACTTAGAAGAGAAATAATAATGGGTTTAGAAGCACTATCTACCAATGAACCCTTCAACTTCGTTATCTATGACACTATATTTGCAAACCCACATGACTCTTCTGAGACTAGTTTCTTGCCGGAAACTGGCCTTAAACCACCTGAATTTGGCGGTGGTTCGGATAGCAGTTGTTCGGTGAAGCAGCGGCGGAGGAGGAGGCTGGAGGGGCCGGAAGCGGGGGTGATGGAGAGGAGAGGGAATAGTGGGGGTGTGCAAGGGAGGAAGAAGAGGAGGCGGAGAGCGAAAGTGTGTAAGAACAAGGAGGAGGTGGAGACACAGAGAATGACACACATAGCGGTGGAGAGAAACCGCCGCAAACAGATGAATGAACATCTCGCCGTCTTGCGCTCCCTCATGCCGGAATCCTACGTCCAAAGGGTATGTTGTACATTACATTATCATTTTAAAATATGATTTTTGATAAATATAAATATATCGATGAATATTAGTATGAAAAGTTGAAAATCCTAATTAAGGATTTGGTAGGGGAATTAGGACTTTGAGCCAATGGCCACCTAGTTGATATAGGGATGTCATTCAATTTTTATTTTTTTTGGATTCAAAGTTCAAATATTTTTCAAGTTATGTGTGCATCACAATCAAAGATTCAATTCTGCATTGTTTAAATAAATAAATGGTTTTTTTAGTTATGCACCACAAGCACATAAAGGTAGGAAGATATATAATTGGAGAATGAAAAATTGCTTTCTAACTCGAGTTTGACATCATATGATCTTGCCAATGCCTTTTGGATAATTTTTCATTTGTCAATTAAAGAGCCAAGGTAAGAAAAGGTGATCTAGTTGAAAAAAGAAAAAAATAAAAAAGAAAAAAAAGGCATTGTTTAAATAAAGGGCAAATTACAAACACCCCCTCAAGGTTTGGTGAAAATACAGATTCCCCCCTGAGGTTTGAGAAATTACATCCCACCCCCTGAGGTTTATATTTCCATAACAAATTACCCCCTGAAGTTTTCATTTTCATACAGATTCCCCCCTTATTTCTCCTAATTTGTCATGAAAATTTGACCTCAGGAAGTAATTTGTAATTTCTCAAACCTCAGGGGGGAATCTGTATTTTTACCAAACCTCGAGGGGGTGTTTGTAATTTGCCCTTAAATAAATAAATGGTTTTTTTAGTTATGCACCACAAGCACATAAAGGTTGGAAGATATATAATTGGAGAATGAAAAATTGCTTTCTAACTCGAGTTTGACATCATATGATCTTGCCAATGCCTTTTGGATAATTTTTCATTTGTCAATTAAAGAGCCAAGGTAAGAAAAGGTGATCTAGTTGAAAAAAGAAAAAAATAAAAAAGAAAAAAAAGGGAGGACATGATAAGATAAGATTTTATTTTTTTAATTAACTTAAGACTAATTCTTTTTCTTTTTTTATTTGTTTTTATAGGAATTTGGGACTAATTCTTCACCACCACCGTCATCATCTTGACTAGAAGCCTACATTATCATTTGTAATTAGAAAATATTATTTGCCATGAATTTTTATTTCAAAAATTACCTCAAAATAATTGTAATTTTTTTTAACATAATTTTTCTAATTCGTATCATTTTTCTTTGTAATTTTTTATTTCAAACACTTCCCTACTCTCCACCAAACTACATCTAAACAAGCCAAAAAGACCAAAACACCCCTAATTAATCCAATAAATTTGTTGTATATACAGGGTGACCAAGCTTCTATAGTGGGTGGTGCTATAGAATATGTAAAGGAACTTGAACGCCTCTTGCAGTCCCTTGAAGCTCAAAAATTCCTATCTCTACAAGGAGGAGAAAGGCCACCACCTCCCACTACCACTACTGCTACCACCATCACCGCCACTGAATTCTCATCAACCCCTTTTGCGCAGTTTTTTGCGCATCCACAGTATACATGGTCTCAGATCCCAAGCAAGTATACGTCGAAGAACAAGGCCTCTGTGGCAGATATAGAGGTGACTTTGATAGAAACACATGCAAATCTTCGAATCCTTTCGAGAAAATGCCTTAGACAACTTTCAAAAATGGTGGCTGGTTTTCAGACACTTTGCCTCACCATTCTTCACCTCAATCTCACCACCTTTGACACATTGATCCTCTATTCCATCAGTGCCAAGGTATGTCAACTTTGTAGCTATATATATCTACATTGTGTATTTTCTCTTGTGTATATGTGGGTATATTGGAAAAGTTTGGTATCGGTTTTGTTTTTGTTTTCATATTTAGTGTTTTTTGAAAACAAAACTAATGAAAAATTAAAAATTACTCATCATTTTTATATTGTTATTAATATTTTTGTGGGGATATAGTGTTTGAAAAAAAAGAAATTAACATTTTTTAAAGGGTGGTGGTAAACACTTCACTCGGCCTTTATTAGGCAAAGTTTCGTTAAAGTCATTCATACTTTTGCGAATTACCTCAATTGCCCCTCTTTAGTAGACCTTAGCACCTCAGTTTTTTTCACTTCTTTGGAGGGATATTTTTGACATTTGTGCAAAAATTGCCTAATAAGAACAAAATATGTAGTGTCGGTTAAAAAACAGGTTGTTTTCAAACTCTAAGAAAATAGTTCAACAAACAAATTTATATGGTATTTTTTACTTTTGAAAAAATAGATAATTTTGACGGTTCTTTTAATTTAGGTCAAGATTGGCATATACAAAATAATCCATCGTTTTATCTTTTTATCTTTTTTTCATCACATCACATCTCTACTTTTCTGTACATCTTTTCGTAAAAAGACAAAAAGTACACTTATTTGAGTTATCCCAAACAACCTAATAAGATTTATTTTTGTCACATTATTATGTATATATATATATTATTCGTATGTAAATAGTGCAACACCAAATCATATACATGTTACAAGTAATTTTTATCTTTTTTTATCTCAATCTTACAAAATTGTGAAAAAAGGGAGATATGGATGGTAGGGGTATCTTCGACATGTCCATGATTATACCTAGGAACAAGAGTAATGAACAGAGAGAAGAATGATTGTTTCCAATAGTTGTGTTGTTTTCCAAGTTTGGTAATAACTAGTTTCACCATGATTTCAGCAAATAAATAAATATAAAAGGGTTATGAGCTAAAATTTGAGAATTCTTATTAATTGTAGGTGGAAGAAGGATGCCAACTCACTTCAGCAGATGACATAGCGAGTGCAGTTCACCACATGATTAGAATAATAGAGGAAGAAGCTTCCCTCTGTTGATCAAATCTTTATCTTCCCTAAGTACCCTTTTAGTTGAAATGGAATTACCAAAACTACCCCCCTCCCCTCCCCCCCTTCTTGTTTTATGCACAAAGTGGTGTTCTCTCTTGTCCTTGTATATATATGCATCAACAGGCATAGGTGTTGTTTGGATTTCACGAAGTACAAAAATGAGTTGTTGTCTTCACACAAATAAAAGGAAAGGGGTGGGATGACCTTAGGTTGTTGACAAGTAGTGCTGCCTTCTGTAATCCAACTTTGTAATGAGTGAGGACTCTTTTGGTAGAGTGGAATAGAGATTTTGGTGAAGTTTCATAATCATTGCTGTCATGCTATATTTTATCTGAGCATATGTACAGCTACGCTCTTCATTTATAACTAGGCATTCTTTGGAGTTGGCTTAAAAAAAATTAATTTTTTGACTAAAAATAAAATAAAAGTTTATAAAACAATATTAATGCTAAAAAATTAGTTTGTTTGGTATATTTTTTTAAATTTTTTTTTTGACTTTTTTAATCATTTTTTTAGCATAAGCAAATTTGCTGATTTTTTTTTTTTTTTTTTTTTTGAAGGAAAATAAATTTAGCAAATGAGCTAAGGATAAGTTGGCTTTTAGGATCGACCAAATGAAATCATATTTGTTACCTTTGAAACGTATATTTTATTTTATTTATCTTTATGTCTTCACACTATCTTGGTTTAGCCTTACTAAAATGAAGTTATACTTATGCCAAATTGTGGCACCTACCACAGGCCAAGTTTCGACGATCTAAATTATTTATTTTATAAGAACGTTTATATAAAAATCATCATTGGAAAAAAATTAAGGCTCTGTTTGGTTTAATTTTCAAATAATAATTCCACCCTTATATTTAAATGCTAAGTTTGATTTAAGTTTTCAAAAATTGATTCGAAGCCTACATTTGAATACACATTCCAATGCATGTTTGGTAGAGTAGAAGTTTTGAATTTTGAATTTGCGGATTGGGTCAATCCAGTCGTCCGCTCAGTTGACCGGAACAATGCCTTTTTTTTTTTTGTTGAAATTGCAACTTGTTATATGAAAACAGAAACTTTATATTTGTTTTGAATATTTTTTAAATATAGAAATTATTTTTTTGGACCGTTTTTAAACAAAACAATTAAATTTTTTCTGACCAAATATGCAATGAAAAGTAATTTTAAAGCACTAGTTGAATATTTTTTTAACAAAAAATCATATATATTTTTTAATATTTTAAATAAAAAAATATTTTGGAATTTTTAAAATTTTTTAAATAAAAAAATTATTTTTTTCAATAATTGTTTTTTGAATTAAATTTTAAAAAGAGTTTGGTTATAAGTTTTGAATAGAATTTTCAATAGAGTATTGAGTAGTGTGTTTGGTTATGAGTTATAAGTTTTTGAATTAAGTTTTGAAAACTTTTTTCAAAACTCATAACCAAACAATTTTTCTTATTTCAAAAATTCAAAACTCTTTTTAAAACTTATAACCAAACAAATTTTCTCTTTTCAAATTATGATTCAACAACTTACAAACTCAAAATAAAACTCCATTCTCAAATCATGATTTTAAAACTAAACCAAACGCTATTTAAAAGGTTATGATTATCATATCAAAACATTTTTCCTTGTAGATGATGTACACGGCTGTATTTATAAAATGAATAGTTCGAATAATTGATATAAGATCCGTAATGGATCCCATAGACTTGGATAGTTCTGAACTTAAAGAGAAGTCTAACAATTTTCTAAACTTTACCAAGCAAATCATGTGATAATAGCTGTTTAATAGGCTATAAATAGTCTTTGTGTTTGGAAACAGATTATTTTAGTAATTTTTTGACTTTTTACAAAAATTATATAAAAAAATAAAGAGAGTAATGTGACAATTTATAGTAATTATTTATTTATTTGTTTATTTATTTTTGTGGGGCTATAAGCGAAAGTTCCCCAACCAACACATAAAACATTATTAAAATATATGAAAGTGTATAAAAAGATATGAAAGTGTCTTGGGTGTATGAAAATATTGTAATATTTTAACATTTTAGATATATTTCTTGTCTTATTGACCTCTGAAATTAGCATCAAATAGAAAAGAAAAAGATTTTCATATATCTATATATATGTTAAACAAAGAGATTAAATAATTGAACTAGTGAATTAGTTGTTTTCTTATTGAAAAATATTGTAACTGAGATCAAACAGATATCAGTAATCTCCTATTAATTCATCCATGTAATCCTAATATATGAAATTTATTATGGGTTTTGCTTATAAATGTCTCTAGGGTATAAATAAAAGACAAAAGAATTGAATAACACAAGACACTGTTTGCTAAATTCAATACATTTTTATTGAAATCAATTACACCCTTAGATTTTGAATAATTCCTATTTTACCTCTAATATTTTTGAAATCGTATCAATTTTGTCCTTGCCTTCAAACGGAAAAAATTAAAAAAATTACATTTAGGCCCTAAATTTCAAAAGAAAGATGTAGACACATCCTCTTCTAGTAGCAAACCACCGCCACCAACCACCACTTCAAGCTCTTCTACCTCCTTTGTCATAATTCCGTTTCGCCTCATTTTTATGTCATTGGATTCACCTCATGGCCTAATTTTTGTATCACCTATCACACATCTCGTTCTTCCTCTTTTTTGCATGCCGTCGGAGTTCTGAAAGTTGATAAAAAAAAATGACTTTTCTTATTGATTTGTACTTTTCTTTGAGCCATTTTTTAGACTGCATATCTTTCTCGATTATTGACAGTTCTACTTCATTCTTTCGCCATTCTCTTTGTAAGGTCTTGGTGTCCCACATCGGGAATGAATGGGGATTTCTGGGCTATAAAAGTAAAAAACTGGACCTTTAAGTATCGAGACCTTTTCTCGGGCGGTGAGATCCCTAGCAGAACTCTCCAGTTAAGCGTGCTTAGGCTGGAGTAGTTCTAGGATGGGTGATCTACTGGGAAGAATAAATCCGTGTGGGCGTGGCCCAAAGCGGACAATATCGATGACGTGTGAAGGGTTGAGGCGTTACACTCTTCACTTCACTTCCTACTTCGTCTTACATTACCTCACTTTTTTACTTCTTCGTGTAAGGGTAGTTTTGGTATGCCGAAAGTTGTTTGAAAATTCCGAAACATTCATCTTTTATTTATTTGTCCTCCATCTTCCTCATTCTTGTTCTTGTTTTTATTCTTCTTCATTTATAACATGATGTCAAGCATAATTCTAGGTAGTAACGGAGGTGGTGATGGTAATTCGGCGATGGCGGCGGAGCTCGTGGTGATAATGGTCGTAGAGCTTGAAAATGTCAGCGATGGACGGGAATAACATCGCTAAAGGCTAACCTTTGCCAATAAAATTGATCCTTGTGTTGCAAAAAATATGGCTTTTACCACAAAAAAATGACCTCATCACCAAAAGTGTTTGTCAAAACTACAATTTCTTGTAGTGATAGGGATAAAATTAAATTTTAGAAAGTTGTGTATGGGCATAGATTTGATAGGCTTTGTCCAGTTTCTAACTATTATATGTTAGCAGTTTATTTGATTATGTATAATTTTTTATATTAATAATTACATTATCGAAAAAAAATAAATAATTAAAATAAAATTGATCCTTGGGTTGCAAAAAATATGGCTTTTACCACAAAAAAATGACCTCATCACCAAAAGTGTTTGTCAAAACTACAATTTCTTGTAGTATCAGGATCCTCTGGAGTTTGTTTCCTAAAGTGATCCTTGAAGTGGGGTGATCCAATGGCTCAAAACGAAACTAACCAAAACGACGTCGTTTTGGTTAGTAATTTCAAATAATAATAATAAAAAAAATTGACATCAAACAACCCACAACCTCTCCAGGAGATTCCACCATACCTTTCCTCTTCTTCCATGTATTTTCTCTGTAACCAAACAACCCACAAACCAAAACCAGCAAAATCCCACAAACGTTTCAAAGGGTTGAATCTGATGATTACCATTGACATCAATTATTGATTGTATTGTTGAGCCAAACATTGAAGCAATGGAAGTGAGGTTATCAGAGGGCTGGAAAACAAAACTGATGAGAAAATTGGCTCTGTTCTGCAATTGGGTTGTGTTTGGACACTTGCAAAACACTGGGAAAATTACGGTGACACTCAGATTTATGTGCTGGAACAAAAAGAAGGACAGAGGCTTCAAAATGTGTATATATATATATTTGGGAACAAGATTCAAAGGAAAAAAAATAAAATTAATTTCAAAATTATGTGTAAACTATCAATTGATCTTCCAATTTTGATGAGTTTTTTCAATTGATCTTCTCTCTTCGATCCAGATTTGTTGAGGATTTGACATTTTTTTTTTCTTTTCGTTATAGATTTTGAGTTTGATTTGGTAATGGAACAATCCGTCGATGGATGGAGGCGAAGGGATGGGGGAAAAGATGGTTAGCCGGAGGAGGGTTGGGGAGCAACTGGCGACCGTCAGCAAGGGTGGGGGACCAGGTGGTCGCCGCCGCTGCCGCCACCAACACCGACAAAGCTGTTCTTCAAGTTCTTTCTCAGCCCCTTCTCCATTTCTTCCTCTCTCTCTCTCTCTCTCTCTCCTCCTCTTGCGTTCAAACTGTAAAACAAAGAATTTTTTTTTTGGGATTGATCTCAGCCATTGGCTTCATTAGCGGGACAGGTGTCGGGCCGTGAAGGATCACTCTAGAGGATCATTTCACCAAATCACTCTAGAGGATCCCAACGCTTTCTTGTAGTGATAGGGATAAAATTAAATTTTAGAAAGTTGTGTATGGGCATAGATTTGATAGGCTTTGTCCAGTTTCTAACTATTATATGTTAGCAGTTTATTTGATTATGTATAATTTTTTATATTAATAATTACATTATCGAAAAAAAATAAATAATTAAAGACTAATGCTTGGGCCTTGACAAAACGAGGCTCGAATGCCTCAAATTGTTTATTTAATTTTTTTAGGCTATGTTGGTTTGATTTTTTTTTTATTTTATTTTATTTATTTCTTGGGTTGTGTTTTTTTTTTTTTTTTTTTGAAAGGTGGTTATGTATAGGGATGTGTCAAAAAATTAGACATTCCGCACCAACTCAGCCTGTGGGTTTAATTTTTTAGCACCAACTCAGCATGAGTTTATGCGGAATATCTAATTTTTTAGCACATCCCTACACATAACCACATTTCCACAAAAAAAATAAAAATTCGAGACATTCGAACCTCGATTTGTCAAGGCCCTAACACTGCTCCTAAATAAATAAAAAGTTAACTTGTTTCAACTTTTTTTACTTCACTCAATTAGTTAATAACGCTTTGTTTGGGATGTGAGTTAATTTTTAATTTTTTAGTTTTTTTTTGACTATTTTAACTTGAGG